GGAAGCTCGAGAATGCGAGACAACGGCAAACATCGAACAAACCAATGCATATCAATGATGTGGGTCTCTTTTGGCTCTCTCGGGGCGTCTCTCGGAGCTCTCTGGAGCCCTCGTGGAGGCCTCTTAGCCTCTTGGGCCTCCCGCTGCCGCTCTGTGGCCCAGTTTGGGCCTGTCCTGGGGCTCTCTTGGGCAGTCTTGGGCTGTTCTTGGGAGTCTTCAGGCTCGCCTGGGCTGTCTTGGAGCTCCTTTTGGGGCCTCTTCGGCGGTCTCGGGGCGATCTTGAGGGCGTCTTCGGCCGTGTTCGAGCGTTGGAGGCTCGAGAACGCGAGAAAGCGAAAACACATGATAAGCGAAGACCGGAGATCACTGATGTGGGCCTCTTCGGGCTCTCTCTCGGGACGCCCCTCGGACCTCTCCTGGGGCCTCTTGGAGGGCCCTTGAGCTGTGTGTTGGCCGTGTTGGGCCCCTCGTTGGGGCCACGCTGGGGCCCTCGAGGCCGTCTTGGAGCGCCCTGGGGCCTCCCGCTCCCGCTCTGGGGCCCCGCTTGGACCTGTCATGGGGCTCTCTTTCGGGAGACTCTCCATGGGGGGGGATCCCCCCCCTGGGATCCTATCCCCCCATGGGATCCCCCCCCCCAGGAAGAGTCTCCCGACTCTTGGGCTGTCTGAGGCTCGTCCCGGGCAACTTTCGGGCTCCCCGGGGCAGTCTTTTGGGGCCCTGCTGGGGGCTTCTTTTCGGGGGTCTTCGGGGCGGTCTTTGGGGGCGTCGGCTGTCGTGGGGAGCGGCAGAAGGCCGAACACGCGAGACGCCGAAAAACATGTCCAGACCAGTGAAAATCAAAGATTCGGGCCTCTTCGGGCTCTCTCGGGACGCCTCTCGGAGGTCTCTTGAGGCCTTTCGGAGGCCTCTTGGGCTGTGCATCTTGGGCCACGTTGGGGCTATCTGGGCCGTCTTGGAGGGGCTTGTCGAAGTCCCCGAGGGCTTCTGGGAACTCTCAGGGGCAGTCTGGGAGCTCCAGGGCCGCTCCGAGGTGCTCGGGGAGCGGTCTGGGAAATGCCGGTCCTCCGATGGCCCCCCGTGGCCCGGGCCCCGGGCGTCCGGGCCTCGTGCACGACTGCATTGGCGCTTCGCGTCATGCACCTTGGTCCTTGAGGCTTTGCACATGTTGGTCGTTCGCGCCAGCCCTAGTGGCCTTGGAAATTTGGCCCCTTCCCTGCGGTGGTTTTCGAAAGTTCGAGAGGTCCCTGGGGAAGTCTTCGAAAGCTTCCCTTCCCTGGGGAAGTCTTCGAAAGTTCGGGAGGTCCCTGGCCTTTCCCGGGGGCTCTCGAAAGGCGCCATGCGGAGGGCGAAGGATCGGAGGGATGGAATCTCGGGGAGCGAGGATAGGGAAGCGGATGTGGGGGAGGACGAGTGGTGGAGCGGCAGAAAGAGGAGGAGTTGGAGGAAGAGGAGGAGGAGGAGGAGGAGGAAGAGGAGGAGGAGGAGGAGGAGGAGGACCCAGAGGAGCAGCAGCAGGGAAAGAGATGGCGCCGTCGGGGGGGTTCATGTGTACGTTCACGCTTGCAGAAATGTCTGGCAATGAATGGTAACATAAGGCCTTGTAGGCCCGCGCATTGGCCGGCTCGTGGCTCAGGTGCCCCGGTGGGCAATGCGAAGGAATGGCAAGCCATGCGAATGAATGCCAAGCAAACCGACGCAATGTCAAGCAATGCCGCAAAGCACAAAGCAATGCCAAGCCGAGGATGTCATGTTGCAGCGGGTCGCAATGGGGCATGAGAAAATGAGTAATTATTGGGGAATGCACCGGATCCCGGATTCACAACAGATTTCTGGGAAATGTGGTTGCGAATCCGGGATTCGGGTCATGTTTGGTGGAACGACACGCCCTGTGGGCATTGTTGGAGCCCTGGTGGGCCAGCTCGGGGCCCTCTCGAGTCGTCCTGGGGCCATCTCGGGCCGTGTTGGGGAGCTTGGGCCCTCTAGGGACTTTACGGGGGCTACATGGGCCCTCCTGGTGGCCTCCCATGGCCTTTTCGGGGGCCTCCCATGGCCGCTTCTCTTGGGGCTTTGTGAGGGCCATTTAGGCTTCTTTTTAGCCCATGCGGAGCTTTTTTGGACAATCTTGGGGCCATCCAGACCGTCTAGAGGCCCTCTTGGGGGTCTCTTGGGCCGTCTTGGGGCGATACTGGAGGCCTTTTTGGCTGGATCGGATCCTGCTAAGACTCGACACGTTTCCCTTAGGGAATGAATCGACTTTTGCGTTCTGGGAGTCCTGTTGAGGGCCTCCTGTGCCGTCTTGGGGGCCTCTGGAGGCCATCTGGGTCCTTCTTGGAGCGCTCTTGTGCTGTCTTGGGTCTCTCTTCGGCCTCTCTGATCATCACCGCTCTGATCGCTCGGGATCTGCTGGCAAGACCTGGCTGCGCGCCCTGGGAAGTCCGGGACGAGCCGGGGGACCTTCGGCAACGGTGTCCGGGGGGCCCGGAGACCCCGGATCCTGGGGGGGCGGTTTTGGGGGGTGGACGGGTTCCCCCCCCCCATCTCAGTTTTTTTTTTTTTTTTTTTTTTTTTTTTTTTGTTTTTTTTATATCTACGCTTGTAACAATCTGGGAAGAGGAATGTATAGATACAGAAAGATAGAGAGACAGAGAGAGGGAGCAGGCAAGGCGGGCGCAGAGGAGGAAATCTTGATTTGGGGTCAAGCCTCCCGCGCTTGCAAAGCAGTGGGCGTGTGTGCCGAGGCCCTCGTCGGTGCGAAACAAACAACCCAACCAGCCTTGTGAGCGTCGCAAATCGAACGCTCCAACTCTTCCAACCCCCTTCGTCCCTTTCGGGGGCCCGAGGCGTACCCGACCCTTTCTGAACGCGCGGCGCCTATACTGGGGGCCGCTCAATACAAACGAACATGATGAAGGAGCCGCAAAGCGCAGAAACAGCCAGAAGTGACGTCAGGAAAGCGCGACAACGAGAATAACGACAACCACTCCACTGCGCGTAACTCCGCTCTGCGTGTAACCAGAAACGAAGCCCCCTTGTAGCTGCACTCCGCTGCACCTCCCATGAGCCCACGGAAATGGCGACTGCTGCGCAGCTCGCAGCCTCCGAGGGAGCCGCGGGGCCGCGTCTGCATTCGCGTGCAGCTCCACTCCGCTGGACCTCCGCAAGAACCCCTAAGTGCCAGCAAGCACTGCTCGGGGGGAGCGCCACGGAACGCTGACTCGGGGACGACCAGGTCTTCGTGGCCGCGGCAGGCCTCGGTCACGAAGAAGCTCCCCGAGCTGGCCAACTCTAAGGAACCAACAGGTCGCGCTTGCTGCCAGGGATGGGCTCGATGCCACGCTCCCGAATTCGCTGCTTGAACTGTTTCGGCGGGTCTTGACGTTGCCACGGGCCTGATGCCCGCCGACAATTGTCTCAATGATGCCGTGATGCAGCCTGAGGCTGAACATGTTGAGGTTTTCATCCCGCCAGCCCTCTGGGCGACAGGCGGTCTAACAAAGTCTTTCATTCCTCTTCCACAATCCCTTCTCCCCTGGACCTAGAATGGGGGGGGCGCGAGTCGTCAGGGCGTCCAAGATGGCCCAAGATGGCTCCAAGAGGGCCTCAGAGAGCCCAAGATGGCCTCCCAAACTGCTCAAGACAGCCCAACATGGCTCATAACCATGCCTCCAAGAGGCCCCCCAAAGGCCACACAACGTATCCAAGTCCTTTTGGAGACCCCTCAGGAACTCCCCGAGAAGGCACAATCCTTCAAACACCGAGGGTTAACCAATGATTTTAGCTTAGCTTTCTCGCTTCCGATGCGCTTTTGAAGCCTCAAGACGGCCCCACGATTGCCCCCAAGAGAACTCCAAAAAGGGCCCAAGAGACCCCCATGACGGCCCCGACAGCGCCCAAGATCGCCCTCAGAGTGCCCCAAGAGCGCCTCAGAAAGCTATTTGCTGGCCCCAGATGGGGGGGGAAAAAGGGAACCCTAGGACCCCCTGTTTTCATCGACACCCTCCGCGACAGCCCCAAGAGGCCCTCCGAAGCTCCCAGGAGAGCCCCAAGCCAGCCCAAGAGGGCCCCAAGAGGGGCCCCAAGATGGCCCAAAGACGCCCCAAACGAGCCCCACGAGGACCCCAGGACCCCCCAAATAGCCCCAAGAGGGCCCCAAGATGCCCCGAAGGATCCCCAAACTGACCCCAAGACGCGCCCCCAACGCCCCATAGCTCCAAGACGGCCTCCCATGCTCCAAGATAGCCTCCAACATGGCTCAACACGTTCCCCCCCCTCCTCTCTTTGACCGTTCTGTTTCACTACATGCGTCTCTGCTTTCAATTTCCTGTCTGCTCCCGTGGGCAAGGTTTCTGAATGGGCTGGCGGGGTTTCGCGGAACGTAAACAATTGTGATCGGCTAGGCCAGCCAATGCCATGTGGCTATCATCCAAACAACACTTATTGAACTGGCATCGCGACCACAGATGAGAACAAGTGCCACCGCTGCTACTGAATTTCGGATCACCGTACTGTAAGTACAGACTTTGCGTGGGTGGCCGTTACCTTTCGACGCGCGTCCAAATTTGAGAGAATCTCCCGGGGATTGGAATTCAATCGTCGGTCAGGTGGTCCTTGTAAAATGACCTTGGCGTTGACAAATGACGCTTGGAGCCAGCTGCCCAGATACCTTGATATCCTGGGCGTTGCAATAACGGATGCGTTGCGTGATTGCAGTCTGGCCCAGAAGCCTTACGGATGATACTGGATGGGCACCTGGCCAAAACACGTGCACTGAGGACGAGAGGCAGAACGAGAGTAGGTTGATGACGAGGGTGTTTAGGGAGAGGGGGTGTGGCACACATGGTGGAGGGAAATGCAGATTACACACGGGCATTGCGCGACAACTTGACCAGCTCAACATCGCGCTTAACACCTGGACGTCTCGAAACTGGCGTGGGCAGCTGTCCACCATGGATGATGGGAGACACTTGTGCGAACGGTTCCTCACGTCCGTACTGTTCGCGCTCCTCTGTTAGACTGACGGCCAGAACACACGCACGGAGAGAGGGAGAGAAGCCAACGCAAGCGCACCCCACTCCGATGCTTTGTACATCCTCCCGCCCGCTTCAAACATCATAGCTGCACATCGCGGATTAAAATCTTGCTCCGATGTAAGCAGCGCATGTCCTGGACTCACACTCAATACCAATACAATCCCTAAGGCAATGTCCGCGCGCAAAGCCTAGACATGATTGCCGACTCTCTATGCTACTCATCAAGCGCCTGCTACCAAGGGCAGGTGTGACCGGCGTCGCGTGCAGCCGCCGCGGAGCTCGAGCAGGAGCTTCGTGCAGATCGGCGTGCGGCAACATCCACCATCCCGCGGGCCCAGGGCGCGCGAGATCCCACAACAACGCCCCTGCGCCCACAAGTACAGTCAAATCGCATGAGCAGGACGAGCGGTAAGGGTGCAAGCGCCTTGGAAGGCCATGCCGACGTTTCTCGAACGGGGCTGGCCAACGAACCTTGCCAAGGATGGCCCGACTGGGCAACGCTGCACGGGTGGCCTCGGAGAGTTGCTCATCGGTGCTAAGCGACCTTGCTGCACGACTAGAGATTTTTGAGCTCGAGGAGCAGTGACGACATGAAGGCGTGCCCGGGGCCGCACCCACACGTCGTTCATGTCTAATCGCACTCACTCCTAATTCTGCTCGTTTCTACTTGTTCCTGGCCCCCTAGTGGCCAGGAAGAGGCCTAGGATATAACAATTAGACATGAAAGGATCTTGAACCCCAAAAATCCAAGAACTTCCAAAAACTTAGAAATTAATAATGTGTAGGTGGCCCAAAACCACATGCGCGCCCTTTCTCCCATTCCCCCTCAAACCACCATACCATCGCCTTGGCGAGAACACCCTCAGACCCATGTGGGACCTCCATGTTTATTTCCGACAGCGTCCTCGCCTCCCGACCCAACAGTTGCCCACGCGAAGACATTGACACAATCGACATCTGCCAATGCCTTTCGATCCAACCCGCTGAATGCCCGGTCTGAGTTCTGAGGAGGAGCATGAGCAGGAGCAGGAGGAGGAGGAGGAGGAGAAGGAGGAGAAGCAGGAGGAAGAGGAGGGGGGAAGAGGAGGAAGAGGGGGAGGATGAGGAAGAGGAGGGGAAGGAGGCGAAGGAGGAGGAGGAGGAGCAGGAGGAGGAAGAGGGACGAGTTTATTCGCCGCCGAGAGAAACAGGGGGGGGCCCAGGCAGTACTCAAGACTTCTCTCGGTTAGAAGCCCCCCCAGGGGGCTCTTGACGTCCATGCCACTCTGGAGAAGCCTTGCCAAAGCCCCAAGAACATGACATTGTGCTCCCTGACCAGGATCAATATTGGCCTAAGAGAAACCGAGCCACCCACCCGATCAACTTAGGAGAGCGCTTTCTTTCCACGCCCTGACTCAACCCTGCACGCAAGCCTGTGGGAAGGCATGCGAGTTCCCCTCTCCCTCCTCCATCTCTTCTCTTATCCTTCCTGCTCTCCATCCTCTTCTTCTTCCTCCTCCTCCTCTTCCTTGACTCTCAGCTTGGGCGTGAAACAGGACATGGAACAACAAACACAAGCTCTGACATACCAACTGCGAAACAGTAGCTTCTCAATTCATCTCCAGCCTCGGCGAATGGAGCCATTATCAAATGACATGGTCTTGGCGTTTTGCCTCCCTCCTACAATTACTCCACCGCCTCCTCTTCTTCTTCTTCCTCCTCCTCCTCCCTCTGCTCTTCCTCCTCTCCCTCCCCCTCCCTTCTCGGCTGTCGCATCCTCTGAGTGTGGCACCCGCCGGGCAGTTGTGAGTCTGACTCGCGCCTTCAAGGAGGCGAACCGAACCCCCTCCTCCTTCTCCTCCTCCTCCTCCTCCTCCGCCTCCTTGCTCCTCTTCGGCATGCTGCCTCCTCCCCCTCCGACCGACACTGATGCAATATAGCGGACTTCTTCTGGGACCTTCGAAAGGCGTGATCATCCGAAGCGTCCAAGAGGGGGTCGTCCGAAAGGCTAAGAGGGGGGTTCGCAAGTCCTGGCCCGATGCACGCGCGCGGTCCAGGGCGGGGGGCCAATGGACGTGTTCAAACACGAAGGGTGGGCCGGGCAATCCAGGGCGATTTAATGGCCCTGGCAATGACATCCACCTCCTCATCGTCTCCCCCCCTGGTCATGGGAGGCCGAACATTTGAGAGCACCCTCCGTTGTGATTTCCGCAGCGAGAGGATGTCAGCGATTCGGGCTGGGGGCACTACATTCGTGGCCGGCCCCGACCAGTACGAGCTGGCAAGCGGACGCTGGCCTGGCCCTTTGGGCCTTTCGGCGAGAGGCGCAGGACCGTGCCAGAGGGGGAATCGTCACCCGCAAGGTATGTGGCCTGTATCCGCGAACGCCCCCACCCCTCCCCTTGCATTGGGGGGGAACAGGACGCAGAAGGACATACCAGTACTATGCGCCTGCCTCGGAGGCTCACGTCCGAGTCGAACAGATCGCACAAACATCTTACTGTACACCGTCACCCAGGCAGCATGTCCAGGAAACGCCCGCCAACGACTATATACTGTAAGATTTTTGAGCGCGCGCGTTGCCCATGCGGGGCCGACGCCCACACATGAAAAATATGTCTGGGTGGCACCGAGGGGAGGGGGGTGGTCCGACAACGCCCCCCTTGAGGGGGGGGCGAGGGGATGGGGTGCGAGCACCGCTCCTCCACCTCTTTTCGACTAAACGCGGGGTCCTCCGCCGCCTCCTCCTCCTCCTCCGCCTCCTCCGCCCTCCGCCCTGCCCTTCCTCCTCCTCCTCCTCCTCCTCCTCCTCCTCCTCCTCCTCCTCCTCCTCCTCCTCCTCCTCCTCCTCCTCCCCCCCGCGGAGCGGAGCGACGCGCTATCAGCACGCAAGGCATGGCGTGCCGCCGGGGCGCCACGCTGCCGCGACCCGCTGAGCAGAGGTTCTGGACCGGGAGACGATCGAAGACCTCAAGCTCTCTGGCCGATCTCGGCCTCGGGGGTCCTCTCAGGTCCTTCCTGGGCCCTCGTGGGGGGCGTCATGGTGCCCGCTTGGGGCCGTTCGGGGGCCTCCTGGGAGCGCCCTGGGAGCCTCTTAGAGAAAACAGCTGACGATCTCCAGCTCTCTCATGGATCTTTGCCCCGGGAGGGGGAATGTCGGCGGCAGAGGCCCCGCGCCCGCGGACACGAGCCACACATCTCTTTGGTAGATCGCCAATGGACGGAGGAGGAGGACGAGGAGGAGGGCGGCGGAGGTCGGAGGAGGAGGAGGAGGAAGAGGAGGAGGAGGAAGAGGAGGAGGGCGGATGATGATGAGGAGGAGGGCGGATACGGAGGAGGAGGAGGAGGAGGAGGAGGAGGAGAAGGAAGAGGAGGAGGGCGAGCGAGCAAAAGCCAAGGGGCAGTTGGATAGAGCAGAGGGGAGGCAGTCCCCCCCCCCCCCCCCCTAGCACCTGCACGATGGAGCCCGAAGGCCAGGACCACCTTGCAAGCACCAGGGCGGGGAGCGAGAAGCATGCCTACCCCAACAACAGGCCGCGCGGGCGGCCAGGGAGCACGGGGCCTGCGGCAGGCCCGTGCTCACCTGCACGAGGCCCGCCACGGCGGGGAAGAGCTCCCACGGGGCTCCCAGCGACACGAGCGGGGAGCCCGAGTCCACGCGGTGCAGCACGTGGCCCACGTCACAGAGGAGCACGTGGAAAACGAGCGTGGCGCAGAAATTCAACTCCACGCACGAGCCGCACGGCAAAACACGACGAGTTCGCGTTGTGCCTGGGCATGGCCAAACCGAGCCTCGCCCTGGCTGGAACATGAAGAACGAGTTGATGGGGCCTGCGAGGGTCAAACACCGCATCCAGTCCTCATTCCGTCCAGCCACACGCCCTTGCGGGGCACTCACACACTGTGGGCTGGCACTCACCATCCTGACTATTGTCGGCCTCCTCGCCGACCCGTCATACCATGTCGGGGTCCACATCGTCATCGCTATCCGACTCGTGTGGAGCACCCAACTCCAATGCTTCTGGGTATAATAAACCATTGTCTTTCGAAATCAAGCTAGTATCCAGGTAACGCTGGGGTTCGGCTCGGACTTTACCTTTGGGCCTGAAATCGGCCTCGGGCAAGTCGCCCAGCGGATCCCGCCAACCTTTTGACTTGCACACCAGGGCTCGGGCTCTGACAGAAGGTCTCCGAGCGCCCTCAAGCGAGATCTCTTTATGCAGCGACTATGGGTGTCTGAGGTTGCTGAAGTGCCTCGTGTTCTCCACAATCCTGCCACTGCCCCCTTCTCTGCCACAACGAACGCTGTCCAGCCCCCGATGGTTGAGGCTGCCTGTGTCCGAGTACTTGCAACAGCTGGTGCAGAAGATCAACGAGCGGTCGTGTCCAACCACAGGGTATTCCAGCAGCGCGTGCTTCTGCACCATCCATGGCCATGGCAAAAGAGGCTCCCTTTCCGCCGCCCGCTGCTGAGGAGTGGCCAGATCGTCCTCCTGCGGTGCGGCTCGGGGAAAATATAGTCTTTAAAGTCATCGCCCTGCTCGTGGAACCACACCTCGAACTGTGCAATGTAGCCAAACAGCATCCTGTGAAGGCGCATGGCGCCACGAACGAAGCGCTCCTGAACCTCCGGTGATCGATGGAAGGAGGCCCCAGCCTTGGCCAACTCGTCGGCCTCCATGTTGCCTGCTCGATCGAACTGGCTGATGACTCCTTCCCTGACGTCAGACATACTCGTGTGCGCCTTGACGTGCAAAACGGGCGCGCGGCAGAAATCATCGTTAATCTTCGTGCGCCTCCACAGGTGTGCTCTCGAATTGCCTGGCCCACTTGCCGCCTCGAGTCTGTGGCAACATCCTACCGAGCCTTTGCAATCTGACTTGGCTTGATATGATCCCATGGCCAGCTGGCTGGCCTTCATGATCGCATAGTCCTCGCTGTCGCGGGCCACTTGACTTGGCCCTTCACACCGTGGGACGGCGCCGTGATATCGTGCAACTCTGCGCCGCTCTGCATCGCATCATAGACCGTGACGGCCCACCCCGCTGACCGCAACTCAGGCACACGGGTCGAGAAGGTGCTGCCGTCCACAAAAGCAACTCCGCCATCGACAGACGTGATCCCACGTCGATCCACATCAATCAAATCATGCTGACTGGAACGGCCTGCTCCGTGGAATACTTGCCCTGGGTGTGGAAGAAGTCCTCGCGCAAATCGATCCTGCCTATCTCCAGGTTCACTGAGCATCCTGTGTGCTGCCCTTTGAACCTCCAAGGGGATGAGCAGCCGTCTCTGAGCCGCAAAAGCGTCACACACGGAGAACCGATGGAAAAGCGTGCCAGGCGCCGACTGGCAGCTTGTGCATAATGACGAGTGACCAGTGAAGGCACGGGCAATCCTGGCCTGCGTCCAGTGGCCGCCCGTAATCACACCTCGAAGTGATCGACGCTGATGAGGCGAGAGTCGCTTGCCATGAAGCGCCTCCACTATCGGTTGCCAAGAGATTGGGCCCGTCCTGGTTGAGCCCGCTCCTTGCATAGCCGCAAGAGCGTCACGGTCTATCTGCCTCCGTACTCCCAGCTTCACAATATGAGATATCCAGCTAGCCGGGTAGAACTTGAGATCCCACGAGAAACCTTCATCATCAAGGAGAGTGAACGGGTCCAACAACTCACAACATATTCGGTAAAGACGAGCATCAACGCCGCGATGGGATTCTTGCATTTCAACCAGGCCTGCGGATCCTCCAACAAAGGGAGAGCTGAAACCATCAGCGCCGAGACCAGAGATGAAGTCAACGTCCCATTGGACATAATCACAATGTACGTGTGTATGGCATCAGACGTGGCAATGACAAGGGGATCGTTGTGCCAACCGTTCTCTGCACACATAAAGAGAGAGGCCCATTGACGAACCTGGCTTGAACCGAGCACCCGCGTTAAGGAAGGACATTCTGAGCTGTTGGATCCTGCTATTGGGCACCCATGCGATGGAGCATCCCCGCAGCGCCTTTGAGAGGATCCCAGAGCGGTGTACGGCTGAGCGTTGCCTACCAAGACCTTTGAGAGCCAGGAGCCTGTCCCCTTTAGCCATAGCATCACGAATGCGAGTGAGCTGTGTGCCTATACGCCTATATCGCCCATCCACGGCATCTCCCCCGAGGTCCCGATGATATTGAGCCCGTCCTGGAAACGGGGAACTCCAACAGGCCACCAATCGGCAACAGCGTCCTCGATCAGGCTGAACGTCTCCGAGTCACTGCACAGAAATCCCATCTTGTCCCACGAAAGCGGCAGCCCTCGGGCCTGGAGAAGGCCCACCGTCTCCTTGAAAGCGGAACTCAGCTCCCTGGCCACCGTCTGCGGGCCACCGGTCGAGTGTAGACTGATATCGTCGATCAGGTTTTTGATCCTGAGCGAGCTGCACCGAACCCCTACGTGCCGAAGGACCGTCACCGTCATGAGCTTCGCTAGCCCCGTGGCGCACGAACAGCCTGCGATGATTGTCCCGTTGGCGAAAATCTCGTGGGAGGTCGAGTTCTGATAGGAGGCCCTTCTGGGCCCTCTGTACAAAGCACACAGGGGCCTCAGAAGATTCACGGGGAAACCCGTGTCCCGAGCCGCGCACAACAACTCCGAGTGCGAAACCAAAGAGGAGGAGGAGGAGGAGGAGGAGGAGGAGGAGGAGGAGGGCGGAGGAGGAGGGCAAAGGAGGAGGAGGGCGGAGGAGGAGGAGGGCGGAGGAGGAGGGCGGAGGAGGGCGAGGAGGAGGAGGAGGAGGAGGAGGAGGAGGAGGAGGGCGGAGGAGGAGGAGGAGGAGGGCGGAGGAGGAGGAAGAGGAGGAGGAGGAGGAGGGCGGAGGAGGAGGAGGACGAGGAGGAGGAGGGAACACGCTCGGGACGTTGACGCTCGGGGGCCGGGACGTGCTCAGCGTGCTGCGCCGGAGGCGCGATAGGGCCAGAGCCCGTGGTGGTGGGGCGCGCGACGCGCGAAGCAGGCCTGCCCGAGCGTGTGCCTCGCGCACCCTTCGGGGATGAACAAACCTCCCGGGGAGACGTAAGACCCGGGTACGGGGGACTCGGAAATCCCCGACGAGGTCGTCAAAAAAAATGACGAGGCCGAGCCTGCATTTTGACGAGGCCTCCCGCTGCAGACATCCCACGAAACTCCTCCTCGTCAAAATCCGAGTCGCGGTCGTCAAAAAACGATGGCGAACCCGAGTCCCGGCAAACCCGGGTCTTACGCTCCCCGACTTTAGTGAAAAAACCTCGGGCCCAAACCTGGCGGGCGCAAGCCTGGAAAATAACGGCCGCGTCGCCCTCTCGAGAACCGAAGAAGGACAACTCACTAATCGACGTAGAAATAGCAAGATTCCCCATCTTCTCCAACATTTTCGATATTTTCGTCTGCCCCCCCACTTCCCATATGTTCCCATATTCTCTGGGGAATCTACGATTACATGTGTCTGTGTGTTTCTTTCCTTCCTGACTGTTGTATGCCTCAAGGTCGCTCCGGTGTTAACGGGCGACAAGTGGTATACAGCACACTTATTCGCTGTCGGGGGGCGCCTGTCCCAGGGCGGCTGGGAAGTTTATACCCTTGCGGTGGCACGTCAGAATATAAACTTTCCAGCCGCCCTGGGGCAGCTCCCCCGGCGACGGAAACGTTTATCATATACCTGGATTGGAGCTGGCTCGCAAAGCATTGGAGCTGGCTCGCAAAGGATTGGAGCTGGCCCGCTGAATCATGGATTGGAGCTGGCTCGAAAAGGATCCCTGAGGATCGCCGAGCATGGCCCGAGCAGGCCCCGCGGTCCCGACGAGGGGCCCCCGAGGCAGTCCCAGAGGAGCGGCAGGGGCCACGGCTGGTCCCCAGCCGCTTCCACGAGCATCCCCGCGGAACCCCCCTCGAGGCAGGCACGCCAGGCCTCCCCGACGGCCCCGAGGACTTCTCAGGGTGCCCCTTGGGAAGCCCAGGGGGCGCCCCCCCCCCCCGGAGGCTACACCGGCGTGGCCCCGAAGAGCGGCCGAGCTTGTGCTGCTCAGCACCTGCCTCTCGGCGGTCTTCGAGGGGCGCGCCTGGAATGGAGCGGCAGGCGAGCAGCTCCTCCGCCCCCCCGCACACCCCAGGGTTCACCAGAGCGTTGCCAGGCGTGAGAGATCGTCGGTAACTCTGCGGCTTGCTCTCCAACAACTCTCCACAAACCCTGTGCCCTCTGTCGCCGTCTGCTGCCGACCTTGGGCACATGTCGCGCTCATTGTCTGAACGGTATTGAACAGTAACCCGGTTTCAATCATTCTCGCACTGCCGTGTCTTAGGACTTCCATGCCGTTCTTATATTTACTAGACTGGCCTTCACAACGGTCGAAGTGGGCCCCAAGAAGTCACCACTAAGGCCACATGGAACAAGCCGTCTAATCGAAGAGGCTCCAAACAGCGCCCACGGAGCTCCCGAGAAGACCCAAACCGTCTAAGAGGCCACTATTACGGCCCAACATATCTCTAGACCGACAATGACGCACACATACAAAACAATTCCACACCGTAGGTGTTATGATGATGTCGGTGTGCAAGACTGGTCGCCGATATGGCTCCAACAAGACCACGGAGGTTCTAAACACCGAAATGGATTCCCAAATGGTCCAAGAGGTCACCACTACTGCCTACCGAGCCACCACTTTCAAAGCTCAAGACGCGCTCTCAAGATGGCCTCCGTGAGCACCAGAGGCCCACAACGTATGGACACGGGCCCCCGTTGCTTCCAAAGTTGTTGCCACAACGGCTGGGGAAAAACGCGGGTCAGCAGCTCGGACCAACTGCGGCCAACCGTTTGGTCATACGGGCATCGTCACTACGACCTGGTAAAGGCGCGGCGACTCGCCGAAGGCATCTCCTATGATAAAACAACGTCTAGCAGCGACGACAAGCACGTCTCGCGCGCCCAAGTGATAACACATCCGTAGGAACAGCCGCTGGAGCGCCATACGCACGCGGCCCAGTAAACTACATGAAACAAGCGTCCCTGAAGACCGCCATGCTGCTGCGATTCACACAGGGCGGCCAAGCAACCCATTCCCATCTGCCGAGCTCCGCGTGCACCGCCCCCCTGGCGAGGTGCCAGCAGCCCCGCCGCGTCCAAGCTCGGCGATGGAGCGAATCGCCACGGCCTATTGGTGCACGCCGCCCCCGCCGTAGCCGTAGCCGCCGTAGCCGCCGTAGCCGCCGTAGCCGTACCCAGGCGGCGGCCCGCCTTGTAGCGGCCCGTACCCCCCGCACCCTGCATACGCGTGGAAACCCGCGTGGCCAGCCGCGCCTTGCGGCAGCGGCGCGCCCGGCCAAGGACCTTGCCCGTATCCGCCGGGGCCGCCCGCGTGGTGCTGCGGCCACTGGGCGCCCTGGCCGCTTCCGCCGCCGTCCTGCGTGCCGGCGCGGCTGTCCTTGCCGACCTTGCCGCCCCTGCCGCCCTCGCCCTTGCCACCCCTCCCGCCCCTCTCGCCCTTGGCGCCTCTGTCGCCCGTGCTGCCCTTGCCTCCCCCGCCGCCTCCGCCTCCGCCCTTGCCGCCTCCGCCCCCCCTGGCGTCGCCGCCTCCGCCTCCGCCCCTGGCGCCCTTGCCACCTCCGCCGCCTCCGCCGCCTCCGCCTCCTCCGCCGCCTCCGCCGCCTCCGCCGCCTCCGCCTCCGCCGCCTCCGCCTCCCCTGGCGTCACCGCCTCCGCCTCCGCCCCTGGCACCCCTGCCGTCTCCGCCGCCTCCGCCTCCGCCTCTGGCGTCGCCGCCCGCGCAGTCGCCGCCCCTGCCTTGGTTGCCACGGCCAGCGCCCTGCTGGCCGCCGCCCGGGGGCCCCGACGCTGCGGCCGGCTCGGCCGCGGCGCCGCCCTGGGGCCCCGCCTGGCCCTTCGCGGCCTTGGCCGGCCCCGCTGCCGGCCCGAAGCCGATCTCCTCCAGCACCTGCTGCACCCGCTCGACGGCCGGGGTCGTGACGAGCAGCTCCTTCAGGTCGACGGGCTCCACCGTGCCCTGGTCCGAGCCCTCGGCCAGCATGCCGCCGTCCTGGGCGGGGGGGCGGGGGGCTCGGTGAGCTCCCTGGGGATCTGCGCGCGAGCCCTCCCGGTGAGGAGAGACCATGCAGTCATCATGTTGCCATAAGGAACGCCGAACGACGGAACGGAACGGAGATTCTCGGCCACGAAGAGATTCCCCGACCTGTATCGCAGGAGCGGCCCAGAAACCAGAGGCCCTCCAGAGCCCTAGGCGGTCTTATTTCAGCGTCTTGGCTGCATCGGGAATGCAACTGCTGCCACGGGGAAGCTCGTCCCTGCCGCCCTCTCGCGCCCCTCCGAGTTAGTCTCTCTGATCTTCGTGGAGCAGCGCAGAGCAAGCTGCACTGCGGGCCCAGAAACACCCAGGGCGATTCGCAACCAAAGAAACGTCCTCAGTGCCAAAACAACAACTATGGTTCGATTGCCGACCGTGCCAACGGGAAGGGGCGCCCCGACGGGCCCCATGCAGTGGATACCAGCTTCAACATCCCGAAACAATTCAGAAACATATGTGCGGGAATATACAGATTCGTCAAGCACAGAGCTGCTATCGAGATTCCTTTCAAGAGCCCACTAGCTCGGCGGGACAGGAAGCAGCCTATCCAATCCTAGCTGCAGATTGATTATTTGATGGTCTCAAAAAAGAAACTGCTCCACACCATAGACCCGTCTTTGCCCTGTGCACCCATGGATTGCTCGCACGATTAGTCTAAACGACGAAGCTTCTCCTCTTTCCCCCCGTCTCATTGTTCGCCCACCTTCCTACTTCCCCTCGCAATCTAGAGCCACCATAGAGACTCCAAAAAACACTACCAAAAACCCTCGGAACCCACTGGGTCCCCCCCCCAACACAAACCGTTGAAACCTGATGGTTTTCCTCCTTCTCCCCCCTCCCTCTCCTCCTCCTTCCCCGACCCTGGTGAGATGTCACGCTCCTCGCCCTCTTCCTGCCAGTCGTCCTACTTGGCTGGAAGAAGACAAACCAGACCAGACGGGACCTGGCCACGCTGGACCGGACCAGATGAGCTCGTTCCTGGACCAGACCAGACCGCGCAAGAACAGACCGGAGTGGACCAGACCGGACCAGAGGGAGGGGGGGGCAAGAGGAAGCACCTGTAGGCGGCAACCTCTGCTCTCCCCCCTCATCCTTCAACTCCCCCTTCCCCTCCTCCTTACACTCTCTCCTCCTCCCCCTTCCGCCTCTCTAATCATTCTCCTTCTCATGTGGAGCCAATGCTTTCCCACATCCTGGGTGGGGTTCGTGTTTTCTCTGGGCACCCCGCGCAGAAACCAACAACAGAGGAACACGCACACACAAACACATTCTCACACACACTTACACACTTATACACTTGCTCACTTACATACAAACACATACACCACAACCATCATCATCATCACCAGCAGCATCATGATCGTCATCATCATCACCACCATCCCCTCCTCCTCCTCCTCCTCCTCCTCATCATCATCATCATCATCATCAGCATCATCATCATCATCATCATCAGCATCATCATCATCGTCATCATACACAACATCATGATAATGTTCATCACCATCACCATCATCGTTATCATCCTCAGCATCAGCACCAGCACCAGCATCAGAATCAGCATCTTCATCATGATGTCTTGAGGGGGAGCCTCGTCTGTGAATGGATAGCGAAGAAGTCTCGAGCGGGAGCGCCCTCCACATTGGGCCCGCAATGTGTGTTTCTACTCCGAGGCGACCATTATCTAGCCTGAAACTATCGTCACGTTTGAGTTCTCGAGGCCTGAATCTTGAAGACGTCTCGATCGGATGAACTCTCGAGCGGGAACACCCACCCCATGGGGCCCACAATGTGTGTTACACATCCGAGGCTGCCATCCTCAATCTTGTAATGTGTGTCACTTATGGGTTCTTGAAGCCTGAATCTTCAGGACGTCTCAATCGGGAGCGTCCTGTGTAGCTGAATGGCGAGGAAGACTCAGACGCGAGCGCCCTTCTCATGGGGCCCGCACTTTATGTAACTGATCCGAGGCGGACATCCTCAATCTTGTACCTGTCGTCACGTTTGGGTTCTTGAGGCCTGAATCTTGAAGACGTCTCTATCGGGAGCGTCGTGTGTACATGAATGGCGGGGGCGTCCCAGGCGGGAGCGCCCAGGAAATTCGCGGGGAGCGCAACAAATTTGTGTTTATGCAGTTTTTGTCCTTCGACGGTCCTCTGCGAGAGAATACTTGTGTATTCTTCTTCTTCTTCGAAGAGCTGTTCCTCGATCGCCGTTTCTTATTCTGGCTTCTTCGATCGTCGCTGCTCCTTCTCTCTTCTCCGAACGAATTTCCAGCGGGAGCGCCCTCCCCGCGTCGGCGTCCTGCGCGCCCTGCGGCCCCAGAGGGCGGGGGGGGGGGCGGGGGCGGAGGCCGTCGCGCACGTGCACAATAGGGCAGGCGCGGCGAGGCCGCCACACCCTCAGGGACGGGTGGTATAGAGGCCTCCCGGATAGGGGTCGAGCAGGAGGAGGAGGGAGGGAGGAGGGAGGGGGAGGAGGAGGAGGGAGGAGGAGGAGGAGGAGGAGGAGGAGGAGGAGGAGGAGGAGGAGGGGGGAGGAGGAGGAGGAGAGAGGGAGGGGGAGGAGCCGCGGCCTAACGTGAGCAAGCTTGGTAGAGATCTGCGCTCGGACAAGTGCTGGCCCCCACCGAATTGGGTGCAGCGGCCAACGCGACGGCCTGGAAGCCGGGGCCGCCCGGCGAGGGGGCGGCCGCCAGCCCAGATCAGCACAGTGTGGTGTACGCGTCTGTGCGTGCGCGCCGTGCGTCTGAGGTCTGCTCGCGCACGCCGGGCTCGTGCCAGTGTCCGGAGCTTCTGTGACTGTGCAGCACGTGCGGGATCGTGTGTGCTGCCTTGCTTGTTATCGTTTGCGCCTGTTCGGCATTACTCCACTGCCCTATCCATTTCCTCTTCCCCCCTCCTCCTCCTCCTCCTCCTCCTCCTCCACCTCCTCCTCCTCCTCCTCCTCCTCCTCCTCCTCCTCATCCTCCTCCTCCTCCTCTGTATCCTTCTCCCGCCTACACCGCGTCCTCCTCTTCCTCATGTTTCTCCTGGTCCTCTTACTTGTCCTCGTCGTCGCCGTCCTCCTTGTCCTCACTTCTACTCGTCGCTTTCTTCCTCCAAATGTTCCGCATCATACGCCATCCTCCTGGACCTGGACCTACCTTGCACGTACGTCTATGAAGTTCGTCCTGCCCTGTCGAACCCGCCCGATGGGGTCCACTTGCGCGAGACACTGTCGCTAAGTTCGGCGCGTCGGGGCACCCGGTTTCAATTACTGGCGGCGAGCGAGGGGGGAAATGAGAAGGAGAAGGCCATCTCAGGAGGCGGCGGGCCTTCTGAAAAAGGCCCCTGGCTTTCTGAGAAGTCTTCTGTGCCTTCAGGGGAGGCTCAGACCACTTCTCAGAAGGCTGGGGGACTCCCGAACCTTCTGATAAGACCCACCCCTTCTCACTTACCCCTGGGGCTCGCCGCCGAACGTGGCAGACTACGGAAACCCTGAGCCGATCATCGACGAGGTCTCGCTCTTATCTTGTGCCGCCCTCCGCCCAACTTTAGGTCGGGCATCTACTCCCACGGGCGGATTTGGGAGGAGAACTAGAAAGAGATCCCCAGAAAGGCAAAACAAACAATACAACTAATCGAAACATCATCCCCTGATTATGTTTTGACCATTTTTGACTTTTCATCCTGTAGAGGAGCGCGCCCGACCTCAAAGCCGAACTTCCTCTAGCGTCCGCCAGCGGACCCGCCGCCGATCTCTGTGTGCATTTCCGCCTTAGGGCGGTCGGCGCGCCGAAAAGGCGAGGCGCTCGCCTTCTGGGTACGGTGTGGGCATTGGATAAGGATGAAGGGGCCCCAGGACACACAAATAAATACACACAAATAAAAATATTCCCCATATTTTCGTATATTTTCTGGGTTTCTGTCTTCCCAACCACTTCCCATATTTTCCCATATTTTCCGGGGAATCGAGGATTAATTGTGTCTGTATGTTTCTTTTCCTCCTGAAAGGAGCCTCCAGATGAGGAATCCAGGGTCTGGAAGCCAGTGAGACTCCCATCGTGGATCGGCCATGGACATCGCCACCGCCCCCCCTTCAGAGAGGGAATATCCTCCAGGGTCTGCGGCCTCCTGGGCACACTATTCAACGAACGCCCCTGCCGTTGCCCCCTGCCTGGTGCACACTCCGACCTGGAGCCAAGATGTGGGGCAACGATCGCGGGGGGGGGACTGGCACAGGGGGGAAACGCTTGGCCTCGAGCGAGGGGGGGGAGTGAGAGAGAGAGGGAGAGAGAAGGCCTCCTCTCAGGAGGCGGCGGGACTTCTCCGAAACCCTCGCGCCGCCTGAACGGCTTTTTGTGTCTTCGGGGACGGCTCAAGAACACTTCTCAGGAGTCCAGAGGACTTCTGAGTCTTCTGAGAAGGCCTTCTCCTCCTCGCTTTCCACGCTCGCTCGCCGCCGACACATCGACCTGGAATCCGCGATACATCGCCGAAAGATCGGCGATGTGCCCCCGACAGGACTTCCGCACCCTCCTGGGCGGGGTGGGGCCAGCAGACCCCCCTGTCGGCGATCAATGGGCGATTGGGATCGATGCATCCCCCCTTGTGCCTATCCCCCCCTGTCGTTGCCACTGACCTGGAGTCAAGAGATACTCTATCAACAAGCCACACACACACCTTGACTCGAAACAGTGCTCGGCAAGCTGAGCTGAGCACTGGTTGCTCGGCTGATACTGGTAAGGTCAAGAAAAAGTGGCCCTCTCCAATCGGATGTGCAGCGCCCGCCCAACAATAAGCGCAACATATCACCCTGAACGATATAACTAACCTTCCCAAGCCCCAGACGCCGTTGTTTTTCACAACGCGTACCCCAGAGGTCTCGACCGATTCCCCGGGACCGGCTTCTTATCCTGAATCCTTTTATGACGGTCCTGGGGCCCAGTGAGGGCCCCCGGAGGCCGAAAATGGGCAAACACCTTCCAGCGTGATTTCCCACAGCGGGAGGTGGTCAGGGATACCGGTCTCAAGATGCAACTGCTCACCCTTCTCGGCTCTTGGCGCTGAATGTGTAACCCGATTCCCGTCCTTGCCACGCTGGACCTCCTCTCTCCCTGGTTCGCGGAGCACGCCAGGGGCGGCGCCGGAGGCGCCGCCAGGGCGGCCCCAGCGCATATCCAAAGCATCCGCGCGGGCATCCACACATGAATTATGCTTATGCAGTGTCGGTGTCCCTCCCTGGAAACACACCAGGCTGACGTTATGACCAACATGTTCGGCATTTGGCGCTCAACCTTCACGCGATTCCCGTCCTTGCCGCGCGACTGCAGCTCGTGCAGGTCCACGGCCGCGGTCTTCGCCACGGCCCGCTCCCACATCCCGAGCGCCTCCGCCGCGGCGTCGCTGGCCATGGCAGCGCCCGGCCCCTTCGCGAGGGCGTGCGCCACCGCCAGCATCTGCGGCACCACCGAGATCTGGCGGGCGAAGTTGAAGAACTTCTTCTCGAAGATGCGCAGACTGCGCTGGACCTACGGTCGGGCACGTGCTGCCGTGAATTCAGGATCCACAGATCGGGAAAAAGAACACCCCGAAACGTGAGGTCAATGCCGCCCGCGTTGGCGACGGACCGCACCGATCCCAGATGGAAGATGGGGAGCGGAACCCGTCGCTCATGGGCGCGCCTGCATCCATGTGTGCGCGTCCTCGACGAACGGTTCACTCCCCAGATACGGGCTGATCTGGATCCCGGCCGAGACCCAGGCCGGCGCATCCGAAGGCGTGGGACGATCCGGCGGTCGCACACATGCGCCGATTCCCTCCACTGGCACAACGCACCGCCCCTGGGAGACCGCACAGCCAGCTACCCGGCTTGAGGCTTGTCGAATCTCCGAAGCATGGCCTGGCTGGGACGACTGTTGCTTCTTTGTGCCACCTGGCTGTGGCTCCGTGGCAGCTGACCGGCACAGCAGAGCGAGCACATGCGTCGATCCCACCGATCGGCTACACGCACGAGTGACACTGGGCAGTAGTGGCCCTGGGTGCGCGGCTTTTCGGGGGGGGGGCCGCGGGGGGGCCAAACACAAGCGCGCAAGACGCTGCGATCGCATCGCGTTCGGCGATCGGGGGACCACATTGGGCCCGCACCAAAGGTCACTCCAACGAACGGTCACTCTTACGTCTAGTCCCACCGAGCCCTCCCCCTCCCCCGGTCTTTCCTACTCCCCCTCCCCCTCCCCCGGTCTTTCCTCCTCCCTCCCCCGGTCGCACTCTGGCCGCCAAATCTGCTTCCGTCCGAGCGCCGGGCGGTGGACGTCTTGGACTCCTCGCCCGTGGCTATGCGGGCGCACGCGTTCTCGATGGAGGACCGCACCGTGGGCAGCACCATGCCCTCGCGCGGAGACACGCATCAACAACCCGCGCCAGGAAAGCTAGAAAAGGAGGCAAAGGGGACAAGGAGGAGGAGGCGGAGGAGGAGGAGAGGGAGGAGGAGGAGGACGACGAGGAGGAGGAAGAGAACTCACAGCCTTGTCTCATCCCCGCAATGGCCGCCGTCATCCAGCATGGAAGGAAGCAGCAATCCGGAAGGTTTGATGCTCATTCTGGGGACCTTCCTGGAGCCACTCGCTCTATTCGTGCATCCAAGCTGCGTCGAAAGTTCGTCGGCTCGAGTCGAACCTCAATCGAACCTGAGCCGAACCCGAGTCGAGCCCGAGTCGAACTTGAGTCGAACCCGAGTCGAACCCGAGTCGAACCTGAGTCGAACCCGAATCGGACCTCGATCGAACCTGAATGGAACGTGACTCGAACTTGAGTCGAACAGATCCGTTAGGTGGGCCCCAGAAAGGTCCCCCCAAAACAAGCATCGAACGGAAGGTGTGCCGAAGCCTTCACGCGGTGGATGTTTCGGGGCCCCCGTGAGCGGCGCGCCGCGCACGCGAGGGGGGCGGCGCGAGAGGGGCGGTGGCCGTCGCGAAGGGCGGGCAGCTCCGTGGAAGGCAAGGGGCCGAGGCTCCTCAGACGCGTGATCTTACTGGGAAGCCCGTGTAAAAAAGGTCCTCCTCCTCCCCCTCCCCCATCCTCCCCCTCCTCCCTCCTCCCATCCGCCTCGCCACCACCCTGCGTTTCACCCACCCAGGATAGCGTTTCGTGGCCCCATAGGGAGCTCCACCGAAGGCCCCAGCGGCAAGGTTTGCATGCGTCCCCCCGCACATTCTGGCATACCCCTCACGAGGATCGCGGCCCCATGGGGAGCTCCACCGAAGGTCCCAGCGGCAGGGTTTGCATGCGTCCCCCCGCCCATGTCGGCACATCCCTCACGAGGATCGTGGCCCACTTGGGAGCTCCACCGAAGGCCCCAGCGGCAAGGTTTGCATGCGTTCTCCCGCCCATGTCGGCACACCCCTCCCGAGTCCCGAACATCGTGGCCCGATAGGTAGTTACACCGAAGGCCCCAACGGCAGGGTTTGCATGCGTTCTCCCGCCCATGTCGGCACACCCCTCACGAGGATCGCGGCCCCATGGGGAGCTCCACCGAAGGCCCCAGCGGCAGGGTTTGCATGCGTCCCCCCGCCCATTTCGGCACACCCCTCACAAGGATCGTGGTCCCATAGGGAGTTCCACCGAGAGCGGTACTCACAATGCGGTACTCACAGCTGCAGATGGTTGGGTCCTTCGCCAGGATAATGCTTGTTTTTCCCAACCATCCTGTGGTGTTGGGTCCTCGTTTTGAAGAGACGGTGCCCCGCGTTCCTCTCCTCTCCTCTCCTCTCCTCTCCTCTCCCTCCTCTCCTCTCCTCTCCTCTCCTCTCCTCTCCTCCTCTCCTCCCCTCCTCTCCTCCTCTCCTCTTCACCCACCCAGTACACCGTTTCGTGGCTCCATAGGGAGCTCCACCGAAGGCCCCAGTGCCCGCGCCCGCATGCGTCACCCACACCCATTTCGGCACACCCCTCACACGTTTCGTGGCTCCATAGGGAGCTCCACCGAAGGCCCCAGTGCCCGCGCCCGCATGCGTCACCCACACCAATTTCGGCACACCCCTCACACGTTTCGTTTCGGCTCCATAGGAGCTCCACCGAAGGCCCCAGTGCCCGCGCCCGCATGCGTCACCCACACCCATTTCGGCACACCCCTCACACGTTTCGTGGCTCCATAGGGAGCTCCACCGAAGGCCCCAGTGCCCGCGCCCGCATGCGTCACCCACACCCATTTCGGCACACCCCTCACACGTTTCGTGGCTCCATAGGGAGCTCCACCGAAGGCCCCAGTGCCCGCGCCCGCATGCGTCACCCACACCCATTTCGGCACACCCCTCACACGTTTCGTGGCTCCATAGGGAGCTCCACCGAAGGCCCCAGTGCCCGCGCCCGCATGCGTCACCCACACCCATTTCGGCACACCCCTCACACGTTTCGTGGCTCCATAGGGAGCTCCACCGAAGGCCCCAGTGCTGCCGCCCGCATGCGTCACCCACATCCAATTCGGCACACCCCTCACACGTTTCGTGGCCCCATAGTAGAAGCTCCGCCGAAGGCCCCAGTGCTGCCGCCAGCATGCGTCGCCCACACACAAGTCGGCACACCCCTCACACGCTTCGTGGCCCCATAGTAGAAGCTCCGCCGAAGGCCCCAGTGCTGCCGCCCGCATGCGTCACCCACACCCAATTCGGCACACCCCTCACACGTTTCGGGTCCCCATAGGATCTCCGCCGAAGGCCGTCGCTGGGACCCCGCCTGGAGCGACCGGCGCGCGTCGCGGGGACTCCGCGCTGCGCCGCGCCCGCAGCCTTGGATTTTTGGAATGCGCGGGCAAAGAGGAAGGAAAAGAACGCACGAAAGCGGGCGCGATCCTCGCAAGGGGCGCGCCGACATGGGGGTCGCGGCGTGCGGGCGCTGCCGTGGGGGTTCCCGCGGAAGCTGCCTGCGGCGGCCACGCCCAGTGTCACGAGTGTTCGGACAGGCGTGCTCGAGCCAGTCACATTCATTTACATTCACATTAGGCGCAGCCCTGATCGCATTCATGCAAATATACTCGCACGCAGACCCATTCACATTCAGACTCACTCGCGCCCTGACTCACCCGCGTTTATTCTTTCGTAATCAAACCTATCGTATTCCTTTGCGTGGTGTACCCCGCCACAGTTCGGCACACCCCTCATACGGTTCGTGGCCCCATAGGGAGCGCCACCGAAGAAGATACTCACAATTGCGGTACTCGCAACTTCATATGGTTGGGTCCTTCGCCAGGCTAGTTGTTATTCTTCTTACGTGCTTATTTTTCCTTATAAATAGAAAAAAGGAAACCGCATGCATTCTTGACAAGACCGTTTCGTGGCTCCATAGGGAGCTCCACCGAAGGCCCCAGTGCCCGCGCCCGCATGCGTCAGCCACACCCATTTCGGCACACCCCTCACACGTTTCGTGGCTGCATAGGGAGCTCCACCGAAGGCCCCGGCCCCAGTGCCCGCGCCCGCATGCGTCACCCACACCCATTTCGGCACACCCCTCACACGCTTCGTGGCTCCATAGGGAGCTCCACCGAAGGCCCCAGTGCCCGCGCCCGCATGCGTCACCCACACCCATTCGGCACACCCCTCATTTCCATAGGGAGCTCCACCGAAGGCCCCTCACACACCCATTTCACACGTTCGTGGCTCCATAGGGAGCTCCGCCGAAGGCCCCAGTGCCCGCGCCCGCATGCGTCAGCCTAGGGAGGGCCCCAGTGCTGCCGCCCGCATGCGTCACCCACATCCAATTCGGCACACCCCTCACACGTTTCGTGGCCCCATACGAGCTCCGCCGAAGGCGCCACTGCTGCCGCCCGCATGCGTCAGCCACACCCATTTCGGCACACCCCTCACACGTTTCGTGGCTGCATAGGGAGCTCCGCCGAAGGCCCCAGTGACCGCGCCCGCATGCGTCAGCCACACCCATTTCGGCACACCTCTCACATGTTGCGTGGCCCCATAGGGAGCTCCACCGAAAGCCCAAATGCCCGCGCCCACATGCGTCACCCACACCAATTTCGGCACACCGCTCACACGTTTCGTGGCCCCATAAGGAACTCCACCGAAGGCCCCAGTGCCCGCGCCCGCATGCGTCACCCACACCCATTTCGGCACACCCCTCACACGCTTCGTGGCTCCATAGGGAGCTCCACCGAAGGCCCCAGTGCCCGCGCCCGCATGCGTCACCCACACCCATTTCGGCACACCCCTCACAAGTTTCGTGGCTCCATAGGGAGCTCCACCGAAGGCCCCAGTGCCCGCGCCCGCATGCGTCACCCACACCCATTTCGGCACACCCCTCACACACGTTTAGGGTTTCGTGGCCCCATAGGGAGCTCCACCGAAGGCCCAAATGCCCGCGCCCGCATGCGTCAGCCACACCCATTTCGGCACACCCCTCACACGTTTCGTGGCCCCATAGGGAGCTCCGCCGAAGGTCCCAGTGGGTGTGCCCGCATGCGTCCCGCACACCCATTTCGGCACACCCCTCACACGTTTCGTGGCCCCATAGGGAGCTCCACCGAAGGCCCCAGTGGGTGTGCCTGCATGCGTCCCGCACACCCATGTCGGCACACCCATCGTACGTTTCGTGGCCCCATAGGGAGCTCCACCGAGAATATATTCACAATTGCAGTATTCACAATTGCATATGGTTGGGTCCTTCGCCAGGATAATTTCTTGTAAAGAGAAAAAAACCGCATGCATTCTTGACAAGATGATCCAAGATACTCCTCGATGGTCCCCGCCGAAAGAAATGCACACGTCCGAGCGATGCCAAGGCACCCCGCCGCCGGGTGCTGTTTTTCCCAACCATCCTGTGGTGTTGGGTCCTCGTTTTGAAGAGACGTCGCCCCGCGTTCCTTCCTTCCTTCCTTCCTGTCCCGCTGCCCCCTCCCTCCTCCCACCACCTCATTTCGGCACACCCCTCACACGCTTCGTGGCCCCATAAGGAGCTCCACCGAAGGCCCCAGTGCTGCCGCCCGCATGCGTCACGCACACTCAATTCGGCACACCCCATCACGCGCTTCGTGGCCCCATAGGGAGCTCCACTGAAGGCCTCAGTGCTGCCGCCCGCATGCGTCCCGCACTCCATTTCGGCACACCCTTCACGCGTTTCGTGGCCCCACAGGGAACTCCACCGAAGGCCCCATTGCTGCCGCCCGCACGCGTCCCGCACACTCAATTCGGCACACCCCTCACGCGTTTCGTGGCCCCATAGGGAACTCCACCGAAGGCCCCAGTGCTGCCGCCCGCGTGCGTCACGCACACTCAATTCGGCACACCCCATCACACGTTCCGTGGCCCCACAGGGAGCTCCACCGAAGGCCCCATTGCTGCTGCCCGCATGCGTCACGCACACTCAATTCGGCACACCCCTCACACGCTTCGTGGCCCCATAGGGAGCTCCACCGAAGGCCCCATTGCTGCCGCCCGCACGCGTCCCGCACACTCAATTCGGCACACCCCTCACGCGTTTCGTGGCCCCATATGGAGCTCCACCGAAGGCCTCAGTGCCCGCCCGCATGCGTCCCGCACACCCAAATTCGCCCCCCCCCCCCCCCCCCCCCCCCCCCCCCCCCCCCCACACGCGTTTCGTGGCCCCATAGGGAGCTCCACCGAAGGTCCCAGTGCTGCCGCCCGCATGCGTCACGCACACCCAATTCGGCACACCCCCCACGCGCTTCGTGGCCCCATAGGGAGCTCCACCGAAGGCCTCAGTGCTGCCGCCCGCATGCGCCCCGCACACCGATTTCGGCACACCCCTCACACGTTTCGTGGCCCCATAGGGAGCTCCACCGAAGGCCCCAGTGCCCGCGCCCGCATGCGTCCCGCACACCCATTTCGGGACAACCCTCACACGTTTTGTGGCCCCATAGGGAGCTCCACCGAAGGCCTCAGCGGGTGTGCCCGCATGCGTCCCGCACTCCATTTCGGCACACCCCTCACACGCTTCGTGGCCCCACAGGGAGCTCCACCGAAGGCCCCAGTGCCCGCGCCCGCATGCGTCCCGCACACCCATTTCGGCACAACCCTCACACGTTTCGTGGCCCCATAGGGAGCTCCACCGAAGGCCTCAGTGGGTGTGCCCGCGTGCGTCCCACACACCCATTTCGGGACACCCCTCACACGTTTCGTGGCCCCATAGGGAGCTCCACCGAAGGTCCCAGTGGGTGTGCCCGCATGCGTCCCGCACACCCATGTCGGCACACCCCTCACACGTTTCGTGGCCCCACAAGGAGCTCCACCGAAGGTCCCAGTGGGTGCGCCCGCATGCGTCCCGCACACCCATTTCGGCACAACCCTCACACGTTTCGTGGCCCCATAGGGAGCTCCACCGAAGGTCCCAGTGGGTGTGCCCGCATGCGTCCCGCACACCCATTTCGGCACACCCCTCACACGTTTCGTGGCCCCATAGGGAGCGCCACCGAAGAAGATATTCACAATTGCGGTACTCAGAATTGCATATGGTTGGGTCCTTCGCCAGGATAGTCTGTCTTGGCCATGGTGGCGCGGGGGCTTTGGCAGGGCCTGGGCGCCCCGTCTGCTCTGCGCGTTGTAAAAACTACACATGTTTGAGGGGCAGCGGAAGGGGCCCAGGGACACACACAGACACAGACACAGACACAGACACAGACACAGACACACACACAGACACAGACACAGACACAGACACAGACACAGGCACAGGCACAGGCACAGGCACAGACACAGACACAGGCACAGGCACAGGCACAGGCACAGGCACAGGCACAGGCACAGGCACAGGCACAGGCACAGGCACAGACACAGACACAGACACAGACACAGACACAGACACAGACACAGACACAGACACAGACACAGACACAGACACAGACACAGACACAGACACAGACACAGACACAGACACAGACACAGACACAGACACAGACACAGACGCACGCACGCACGCACGCACGCACGCACGCACGCACGCACGCACGCACGCACGCACGCACGCACGCACGCACGCACGCACGCACGCACACACACACACACAGAGAACCAGGCACACATGCACGAAATCCGAATCCCTATATACATGTATATGTATGTATGTGTCTATGTATACAGTTATATAGAAGTACATATATATATATATATGTACATATATATATATATGTATATACATCGAATTCTCTGGATGTTCGCCTTCCCCTCTTGCCATGTTTTCCCATATCCCCATTGGGAATCGACGTTCACTCGTGCCTGTGTCTGTTTGCCCCTCCTGAGCAGGAGTTCGAGGGGGACCAGCTCAGAGGGGGGAGGCAGACACGTCGACCTGGCATCGGCGACACATCGCCGATCCGTCGGCGACAGGCTCCCCGACAGCGAACCCGCACCATTCTTGGGGCGGTGCGGGCTCCCGGACCCCCCATCGGCGACCAGTGGGCGACTGTGCGGTCGACGCGTCCCCCCCCCCCCCCCACTGAGCCCGTCCTCCCCGGGCGTGCCCCCTGCATGGCTCTCGGGTCATGCCTCGGCTCCCCCCCGCGGCCGCTCGGGACGCTCCGGGCCCCTTCCAGACTGCCCTCGACGGGGCGCAGCCGCTGCAGAGCGCTCCGAGGCTGAAAGCCGCCGAGGACCGACGAAGACGTTCGAGAACCTTGAACACCCCCGCTGCCGTTTTCCCCCGATGCCCCTCCCGACCAAGACTGCCCCACCCTGAGGTTGCCCCTGACCGCTGGCCTCGTCCACGAGCGGGTAGGCGTGGGCGAGGGCCAGGCAGAGGGGAGACGGTGGGGATACATGTACACACATATACACATGCCCCCCAACGTTTTCCCCTATCCCCCCCCCCCACGTTTCCCCTTATCCCCACCCCCAGCGCTTCCCCCCAACGACCTCGAACCCCCCCCCCCAACGTTTCCCCCTATCCTCCCCCCCACTAAGCCTGCCCCACCACCCTGAGGTTGCCCCTGACCGCTGGCCTCCACGGTTCCCCCCATCCTCCCCCCCAACGTCTCCCCCACCCCCCCCCCCAGCGCTTCCCCCCAAGGATCTCGAACCCCCCCCCCCACGTTTCCCCCCTGCCTCCTCCCTTCCCCCCACGCTGAGCCTGCCCCACCCTGACGCCGCCCCTGACCGCTGGCCTCGTCCACGAGCGAGCAGGCGTGGACCAGGAGCGAGGAGTGAGGAGTGAGGAGCGAGGAGTGAGGAGTGCGGAGTGCGGAGTGCGGAGTGAGGAGTGAGGAGTGAGGACTGACGCCGCCCCCGACCGCCGGCCTCGTCCACGAGCGAGTAGGCGTGGACCAGGGCCAGGCCGAGGGCCGAGGGCCTCATGCGGCGCGTGGCCTCGTCGAGCTCGACGTACAGCCGGTGCTGCACGTTGCTGACCTCGGCCGCCCGCCCGGCTCGCGGGGCCGCTCCTCCCTCGCCTCCTCCTCCTCCTCCTCCTCCTCCTCCTCCTCCTCCTCGTACTCTCCTCCTCTCGTACTCTCCTCCTCTCCCTCTCTCCTCCTCCTCCTCCTCCTCCTCCTCCTCCTCCTCCTCCTCGTCCTCCTCCTCCTCCTCGTCCTCCTCCTCCTCCTCCTCCTCCTCCTCCTCCTCACCAGTCTCGGCCGTGGGGCCCTTCAGGGCTCGGCGCCAGGCTGCCGCACGCGGCCCTGTGCGCGCTGCGGAGCAGCGACTGCGCGGCAGAGTTCCGCCCTCCTCGGCAGGCGAACGTTTTTTCGGAGTCGGCGTTTCGACCAGGGCTGGACCTCGTTTTTTCGTTTAGTTTTCGTTGTCACTCGCTGTTTGTCTCGAATCCGCCTCTACCGCACACCGAAGTCGAATCGAGAACGGCCCACGAAGTCACCAGAAACGCCGTTTAGGTCCAGCCCTGGTTTCGACATTAGGCGTAAGGGGTGTGGGGGAAACAACGAATGGGGCTCTGGACCCCTGCTTAGTGCGACAATCTGTTTGCAAGAGTGCGCCCGACGGGGGAAGACCCCACCTGCTCGAAACAGGCGCCCAAAACTGCCAAGATCTACTCCATGGGGGGCGGGGGGGGGGGGGCGAGGGCCCGCGCCGATCGGCAAAACAATGTGCATAAGGAAACGATCGCCAGAGGAGCTCCTCGGGTGTGGACCTTAGCGGCACAGCTGTCTCGTCGTCGTTTCTCGTCGGCCTCCTCCTCCGCCTCGTTCCGCCCTCCTCGACAGGGGAGCTCCAGGCCTCGGAAAAAATAGCGAACACTCGTGCCGCATTCGTCTGCCAATGCCCCCCCAGTGATCAACCTTGGAGGTGGGTGGAATGAGCTGCACTTCGACCGCAGTCTTCCCCGCTTTGAGTTTTTGGGGAGCGGGGGAGCGACCACCAACTTCGGGTCGGGCGAAAGGGGGGGATAGCAAAGCGGGGGTTTGAGAATCAGCTCGCGCAGCTGATTCTCCTGGCGCCTCCCGGCGCCGGGAGGCGGCCATGTACCGAGGAATGGGCCCCTCGGTGAGGCCAACACCAGCTGCATGCAGCAAATTTCGTACCCCCCCCTTTCCCAATCCCCCCCTTTCGCCCGGCCCGATAATTGTCTCCTTCCATGACTACCTACCAGACCACCCCAACCCAACCCGAAGACCCGAATTTCGGGCTGGGGGGGGTAAGGGTTCCACACGTGTTTTTTCGACGTTTCCCGACCCCCCCCCCACTGGAAATCGAAGGTAAATCTGAGCCTTCGGGTTGGGTTGGGGTGCTTTGGTGGGTGGTGATTCCACCGTCGGGTGAGGGCCTCCGCGGCGCAGCTGCCTCGGCCCGAAGAGCCTGGCGCTTCGGAGGGCGCCGCGTCCTCGGGGTGCCGTGCTCGCCCCGGCGGGCCGCGCGGCCGCTGCTCCCGCCCCGCCCCGCCCTGGGGGGCCCTCCCCTCTCCTCGCTCGCGTCTCGGGTCGGGCGAACGGGGGGGATAGCAAAGGGGGGGTTTGAGAATCAGCTCACGTAGCTGATTCTCCTGGCGCCTCCCGGCGCCGGGAGGCGGCCATGTATCGAGGAATGGGCCCCTCGGCGAAGCCGAAACCAGCTGCATGCAGCAAATTTCGTAACCCCCCCTTTCCCAATCCCCCCCTTTCGCCCGGCCCGAGCTTCCGCGCCCGTGCCGCCGGTTTCCGGGTGCGCGGAGCAGTGGCTTTATGTCGGGCGTGTCCCCCTACAGGGCGACTCTCGACGAAACATAAAACATATATTCCCAGAATGCACCGACAAGGCCCCGAGATACTCAACAAAATAGTCCCCAGACTATGTTTGGATTATGTTTTTTTACTATTTCTGGGATATTTTTCATTTTTCGTCGAAAGTCCCCCTGTAGGGGGACAGGCCCGACTTAACAGTGGCTGGCTCTGCTCGTTTCTACTCTTTATCCCCTCGTGCATGCCGTGCTTGCCCAAAGTGTGCCAACACGTGCCTCGACAACGGGAGGGGGGGGGTTAAGGCTCGTGCGGCGCCCGCGCGCGCAAAGGCTTTTGGCACCGCGTCGCTCGTTCAGCCTTGAACCGAGCCCGGCCCCGATCGTTCCACGTTGAAATCGGTCGGGTCCAGTGGCGTCACCTTGTCCAGCTGGGCTTCCGCGTCGCAGAATTCAGCGCGGAACGCCTTCGCCGGCGCCGCGGGCGCGCCGACGCCGCAGGAACTTACCGTAGATGCCTCCTCTCCCGCCTCGTCCGACCCTCTTCGACGAAGGAAGGGGGGGGGGGGATGCCCCGAGCACCTGTGGCAACGACGCGAGCTATAGAGGGCCAGCACACCGCATGAGCATACACTTCCGGAGCTCCGCGCCGCTGTCTTGGATCCGCGCTAGGGGGCCCCCTGCGCGCACCAGGGAGGGGGTCCAGCGCAGATCCAGGCAATTTCCGCGGACCGTCAAACGCTCTGTTTACGCACCTGTTTGGTTGTGTAAGGACGGCCCCGGTTCGCAGGTGTGGCTGTCGCCTCGGCGCCGCGCGGGATCGGGTTGGCCGTCTCGACCAGCTGCGCGGCGGCGTCGGTTCCTTTCTGGGGTGGTGCTCTCGCTCACGGCTGCCGCCGGACTGCTGCCACGGGGCTCGAGAGTGGGACGCCCGTTCTGGGAACCTTCCTTGAGCTCCTCGCTCCTCTCATGCGTCGAAACTGCGTCGGACGTGGGTCGACTTGACTCGCACTTGAGTCGAAGTAGAGTCGAATTTGAGCCAGACATAACTTGAACAGATCCGTTCGGTGGGCCCCACCCGAACGAGGATCTGATGAACGAGTGCTCCAGCTACGCTCGTCAAGGACCGTTCGTTCTCAAGTCTGTTACACGTCCTATGGCCCGAAGCATCAAACGTGTGAATCAGTTGCAAGGGTTGAAGCCAACTTCCTTTCGAGACAACATTTTCGCTCAACAATTCTATAGCAAAAGCTTGCCTACACCCGGGCGTTCCTCCTCCCCCTTCCTCTTCTCATCCGCCATCGTCTTCCATCCTCCCTCTCTCCTTCTCTCAATTCCATCTCCCTCCAATTTCATGCATCATCTTTCATCGCCCTCACTTGTCAGGTTCCGACTTTTTGGCGGGAGCAGGGGGTACTCGTACTTGGCAGGGTGGTTGGCAGTTCACTCCTTTGGCGGCGTCTGGTCGTCTACTTCCGAGCTGGCTCGCCTATCGCTGAACCCCCGCTCCAGTCGTAGCTTCTCGCGCAACGAAATGATCGATCCCTCCTCTGACCTTCCTCCCCGTCCTTCTCCACGAACAGTCACCGTCATGTTTTTGTCATAGCGTGGCTCCCCGGAGGCCTGGACCCCTTCTCCGTGACTGGCTTTTCATCCCGAAATTACTTCTTGACGGCACCGAGGCATGGTCCAAGTCCCCGGAAACCAAACATAATGCAGAACCTTCCGTCATGTTTAGGGGAGCGAATAATGACATTGACATAACAACTCGGAGGTCCGCGCGGATGTCTCAGATCCGCGCTGGGGCCCCCTGGTGGCGCCTCTGGCGCCGCCCCCGGCGCGCTCCGCGCGCCAGGGAGGGGGGTCCAACGCGGATCCGAGAAATCCGCGCGGACCTCCGAGTTTTTCTGTTTGTGCCATTCTTCGTTCCTCTATGTTCTTTTCACAGCGCGAGGGGGGTCAAGGTTCCTCCACGCCCTCATGTCGGGGAGACGTAAGACCCGGGTACGGGGGACTCGGAAATCCCCGACGAGGTCGTCAAAAAAATGACGAGGCCGAGCCTGCATTTTGACGAGGCCTCCCGCTGCAGGCATCCCACGAAACTCCCCCTCGTCAAAATCCGAGGCGCGGTCGTCAAAGAACGATGGCGAACCCGAGTCCTGGCAAACCCGGGTCTTACGCTCCCCCGATCATGGTGCCCTCTTCGAGTGGCCGGGGAGGGGGGCACGAGCGCGGCGTGCCAACCCCCAGCGCCAAGGCCGGGCCCGACGGGCGACGCCGAGCTGCCGGCGTGGGTGGCCATGGAGGCGTCGGTGCCGAGGAGGAGGAGGAGGAGGAGGAGGAGGAGGAGGAGGAGAAGAAGGAGGAGGAGGAGGGAGAGGAGGAGGAGGAGGAGGAGGAGGAGGGGAGAGGACGAGGACGAGGAGGAGGCGGAGGAGGAGGAGGAGAAGAGGAGGAGGAGGAGGAGGGAGAGGAGGCGGAGGAGGAGGAGGAGAAGAAGGAGGAGGAGGAGGAGAGAGAGGAGGAGGGGGAGAAGGAGGAGGAGGAGGACGAGGAGGAGGCGGAGGAGGAGGAGGAGGAGAAGAAGGAGGAGGAGGGAGAGGAGGAGGAGGAGGAGGAGGACGAGGAGGAGCAGGAAACTAATTGCCGCTACGGTTTCGCTACCAACGTCTGTCCATCGCGTAGGGAGGAGGAGGAGGAGAAGGAGGAAGAGGAGTAAGTAAGACACGGCTATGGGCCCGCATCTCTCCTTATCCGTGCACTGCCGAGCGGAGTGGACAGCAGGCGGCATATTCACATATGGAAATGGGGAGGATAACGACGGGGAGGGGGCGGTGGACGGCGAGGGGGAGGGGGGGTAGGAGGGAGGAAGGGGGAGGACGACGTCACGAGGAGGGCGAGGCGGGCGCGTGGGATGAGGAAGGGGAGGATGGGCGGCGGCGGCGGCTAAAGGGAGGATGGGGAGAAGGAGGACGACGAGGGGGGAACAAGGGGGATAGTAAGGTTTCGGGTTGCGCAGAGACAGCCCTCCCAGGGAGTCCTGGCTGGCCTCAACAGGCCCCCCGAGTAGTCCCAGCTGGCCTCCACAGGCCCCCTGAGTATGGGCGGTCCGAACGCCTCAGCACTCCCAGGGCTGAGGTGCCGACTCGGCGGGTCTATTGAAGCCAGCTGGGACTACTCGGGGGGACCGTTGAGGCCAACTGGGACTACCTGGGGGGCCTGTCTGCGCAGAGGGGGAAGGACAGCGACGAGGATGGGGGGGGGCAGTGAGGGGTATTAGGCAGCCTGCGCATCCGCCTCCTCCTGCTACACCCCCTCCGCTTTTTCTGCTTCCCACTGGGGGGGGAGGAGAAAGGGACGATGAGGGGGAAGAAGATTGCCTTCTCAGTGCGTGCATGAAATCTTGGGCCGACTCCAATGTGTCGGGCCACCTGCATTGCCATTCCAAGCTCCGCGCGTCGAGAACCAACCGCCGGTTCGGGGCAGCCGTCGGGGTCAAGACATGTGCCTTCAAGTTTGCTCCACGACCTCCTGCACATTATCCGTGGGAGGCACAAGTGATATTCGAGACCAAACCTTTCCGAAAGAAGATTTGGTCACTGGTTGCGTTGTTACTCAACTATTATCCGTGCTGCGCGTCGTCCAACGGCAAGACGTTCTTGTTCTGCTCCAGGGCGCGCACAGCAGCTTGCCTGTTACCTTTGCGTTTACACACGCGTGTCGCATACATGATCGCGAAGGTGCTGGCGATGCCCCACCGTTCAACCTGAGGGTTATGCATGTGCACGCGCCCAAGGGTAGCCCTCATCTTGGCCCATTTGAATTTGGGACCGTCAGCCCTGCCACTGTATCTGCTCCATTTGAATCGCCCTTTCCAGGACAGCAGCCCACTTTTCAGGACTGAAGCCCACAAGGAGTCATCATTAGCAACAACGCTGCGCATACCTGCCCTCTATTGGAAGACGCAGTGGTCGTCAGGGTTGTAAGGCAATGGCCGTATGCGCTTGAGATTGGAAATGGCACGGCCACCCACACAACCAATGCAGTCCGCGGAGTCGCCAAGCACGTGGGGAATGGGAGCCGCAAAGCTACTTACTGCCTGGGCCTCGGCTCACATCGCCCGTCGGCGATCCAGGCTTCACTGCGCCACATGGGGAGGGGACCCCCCCGCCCGCCTGCGGCCGTCTCGATCGAAAGCGGAAGATGAAGCACAAAATGCCACTGGAAAAGGCGACCATAAACCACCCACATCGGAAATGCTGTAAAGGCTCACCGTTGCAGGGGGAGGTCAACGCGGCCCCTGGTGCTGCTGCGCCAAAACGGGGTCGTCGACCTTCTCGTTCGGGGCCAAGTGCGTGGAGATTCGCAAGCAGCGCCACGCCAATCACACACTCGTCCCGACTCGCTTCCTTACTGCATGTATTGAAAATATCGGGAGTGCCAAGCCCATCAACGCCAGTCGCAAACACACGTCGGAAGAGGCGGAGGATGGTGAAGGCAGAAGCGGGAGAGGGGGATCTGATGCAAAGGGATATATTTACACACGTGCGCACATACATATATACACATGTGTACATATTTAGAGGGAGAGACAGAGAGATATTGACATGCATGTTTGAACACACATGTACCTACATTGACCGACGTACGCATGACAGTGTACTTGCCACCGGAACGAAGGTTGTGTCGTTGGGAAGTGGCTGTGGTTGGAGGAGGACGACGAGGAAACCGCTGCGAGCCGTTCTGGGCTTGAAGTCCAATCGGCCTCAAAAGGGAACACGGGGAGGATGAGGAAAGCGGGGGAGGAGCAGGAAGAGGAGGAGGAAAACGAAAGGGTCAGTGCCGATCTTGTGCTCGTCCATCAGCTGGAGGAGCTCGGACTCGGACAAGTGCTGGGGCGGCGCGGTCTGCCTCGCCTTGAGGTGTACCTGCCCGACCTGGACCTCGTCGCCGCTCCTCGGCAGGCAGACTCGGGGGCCGACTCGGAGGACCCACTTGCCCAGACTTGCGCGGCCTAGATCCTCGCTCCTTGCTTCTCTATCTCCGCGCAGACTGGGAGAAGGAAAAGGAGGGAACTCGCCAACTAGGAGGAGGAGGAGGAGGAGGGGGAGGGGGCTCGCCAACTAGAGGAGGAGGAGGAGGAGAAGGAGGAAAAGGCGGGTGAGGAAGCGGAGGACGAGAAGGAGGAGGAGGAGGAGGAGGAGGAGGACGAGAAGGCGGAGGAGGAGGAGAAGGATAATGACAGGAGGATGAGGAGGAGGACCAGGAAAAGGATGAGGAGTAGGAGGCGGGGGAGGTGGAGGAGGAGGGAAGATTGCGATTGCGATTGCGCAGAATGCGGTGGCCAAGAGGAAGCCGGGGCGCGCGAAACACTCATCCCCGCACGGGGAACCTCATACCTGACTTGGGAGGGGGCCCACGAGACAATCGGGACAAAACCTCCCTCCCTTCATCCGTGGGCGGAGCACAGCCCGTTGACAACTTGCGTGCTTGATCGACGCCAGAAGACCCACGCACGAGACAATACAACACGCTCTGGCAGGTCGCCAGGGCGTGTGACTCGTGGACAGAAGGGAATGAGGGGATGGTCGGAGGGAGGGCGCCGCGCCTGGACGTCCGCCACGGACAGCGTGGACGGCTCGTCGCGCGGGTCCATCTCCGCCTGGAGAGTCCACTCCCCTGAAACCTGGCCGAATTCAGAAAGCGGGACACAAACCTCCTGCCCAAACTGGGGCAAAAAGCCCTTTCTGGGAGAAGTAGCGAGAACAGCGCGAACACCGAAACATCGTGCTGAGGCGAGTGGCGCCATGACCCGCGGCCAGCAGCCGTCTCTCCCTCGCCTCAACACTGGCGATGTCCGACCTCTCACGGGCAGCCGAGAGACCTTGGGGGAGGCGGCCTCGCGAGAGCAGGTGGGAAACACTTCGCGCTGAATGGCAAGGAGGCGCGACGTAATCCTCTCCTGGAGAGCGTCCGCAACGCGGATTGACTTCATGCGCCCCCAACTGACCCCATACGGGCGCCTTCGCCAGCACACTGGTCAGCTGCATGATTCAAGATGAGCTCCTCTTTAGAGATTTGCATATCGTCGTCTTGTGCATGGGAGGGGTGCGATTTCGCCCAGCGGAGACAACCTGGCCCGAACGCGTCCCGCGACGATCCCACACGCGGGCCCGCAGGCCCAGCATGCTACTTTCACTCCTCACGACGTGCTCGGGAGCTATCCGAAAGCTCCGCACCAAAGGAATGTAACCAAATAGCACCAGAATAGTACCTTCCGTGACTGTGAGCACCATCAGCAGGACGAAGAGCTCAGAACGCGGGGAGCTCTGACAGGGCGGCGGCGGTCGTGTACCAAAGATACCACCAGCCACTTCGGCTTCGTTGACATGAAGCATAACAGCACTCCACCCACAACTCCTGAGTCTCCAATCCTCAGTCTCACCACTCCCATCCATCGATCCCCCAGAACCCCCCTGTCGGAGGAATGGACCCTTGTGGAGAGCTCCAGAGGCCCAGGCCAACGAGAGAGGAGCAAGCATGCCATTCACGACCTGGTCAAGGGACATCAGCCCACGACGCCACAAGGAATGAAGCGAGGACTTTTCCGCGATCGCAATCGGGGCGAAGAACCCTGTGGCCTGGACAGCAGCGTCGTCCAGGGCATGGTTGGCCGTGCACTGCCAGGAGCGGTGCGCGGGCGTCTCAGGCTGCTGCCCGCGCCTGGGACGCAGCGAGCTGGCGGCGCACCCAGCCTCAAACAGGCGAGTCTCCGCCCAGAATCCCCCCGAAAGGGTGTTACGAAGGGCGGCCTGGGACTCATGCTCGAAGTTTCGCCCAAAGTGCTTCAACCATCGCCTCGGCACGGAGAAATCGACGCCTTCCTGGGCCCCAGCACCCAAGTAGCGCCCGGCGGCTTACCCCCAGGTCCAGCGGGAAGAGGTGGCTTGGAGGGGCCTGCAAAGGCAACGCCGAAAGTCCAGGCTTTCAACAGCCAAAGCGAAGCCAACCTCATCCTGCCACTCGCAAGGGAAGGTGGGGGTGCACTCCAAATCGAAGACAACGAAGAACAGGGTCGCCCGAATTACCAGACACCAACACCAGGACAATAACGGAAGAGGAGCAGGACGCTTCCGCCCCGCAGGCAGGAGGACGGCAAGGCTGCGTGCGTCCTCCGCTCTCGGAGGCGCGCGGGGACCTCATACGGCTCGGCGCTCGGACGCCCGCGGGTGGAGGGGACCCTCGGGCGAGGTCTCCCCCTCGGGGAGCCGGCCGGCGGACGAAGCGGCAGCGGGCGGGCCGGAGCGGCAGGGATCCAGAGGCGCCCGCGGGAACGTCACTGTGTGAGTGTATAGGGAGACGACCGAGGGGTCAATCCCATACTGGTGTCCGCAGGTAGAGACAACAGGAGGGAGAGGGCAGCTACTCCTTTTCCTGGGCGCTGCGCGGAGGGCAGCGCTCTGTGTCTGCTAACGCCAGTACTTGAGCCGATGCAGTAGCGGTATATGACGATATCAGGGGATATGAGCGGACTTCACACACACACTGGCCCTGACTGTGCGCTGGCCGCCAGCCGACATGCTCGCCAGGGCCCAGCTGCTGGCACGGGGCGCACAGGGACACACTAGTGCCATGTGCCCGTTATGCCCCTCCCCGTCCCTCCCCACCCCCTCCCCCCATAACGCCCATAACGCCCATTACTGCCGCGAATTTAAAAATGCTCTCCCTCTTTGTCTCGCGAGGAGGAGGAGGAGGAGGAGGAGGAGGAGGAGGAGGAGGAGGAGGAGGACGAAGACGACGACGCCAACCCTCCCTGGAGGCGCGCGTCCGACCCGAACATCTCGTGCATTTATCTCTCTCGCAGTGTGGTTCTTGTTTCCGGAACGGTGTGGCCATGCCGCGCCCGCCACGGAGCGCCTGCCACAAGCCTTCTCGGCGCGCGCGCCGCCCCGTGGGGGGCGACGCACACCTAGTGGTAGTATGGTGGAGGTCAGTCCACAAGAAACCTTCCACAAGCAACCCAACCCTGAGACCCCAGGACGTGCATGGATTTTTGGCGTGGGAGCGTCACGCGTTTCATCGCAACACCATCGACACCCAAGAAACCCAGGGCACCCTGGAGGCAAGCAGGGCGTTTCTTGGCATGGGCCTCCACTGTGTGGTGGGGCGGTTGGCAGGACGGGGCGCGTCCCTCGATTTTCAAAGGGCTGCCGCTCCTCAAGCGACCGTTGAGGTCCACTGGGCCGTCGTCGTCCGCCCGGCGGTTCCCCACGGTCAGCCAGCCGCGGTCGGTGCAGCGGGTGCTGTGGGCCGTGAAGGGCAGGCCCCCGAGCTGGAAGCAGACGTCCGTCTCGCGGAAGACCGCGTCGGGCGACAGGGTGGCGAGGTAGTGCCGGCAGATCTCCTGGTAGAGCATCCAGCCAGCCTCGCCCTCGCACTGCGACTGCGTCGCCGCCTGTTCACGGCCGGGGCTCCACACTCCCAGGACCACCCTGGCCTGGCGCCGACGCGCATCTGCCACAGAGGGAGTCCCCCCGATTCCTCTTTCTCGGGAGATCCTGCTTGGTCGGACCCGCGCCATTTTTTCCTGCAGCCCATTCGGATCATGATCATGATGCAGGGATGCAAGGCGCCTAGAACGCGCCGAGATGCCAGGGCATCGTTTGACCGAGGAAGCGGAAACCATGCACAGGGTGACCATCATGTGGGGACGCAGAGATGCGTCGCTTCAAGGGCTCATCCTTCACGCAGGCTCCCCACCCGCCACGTTGGGCTTGTTAGATTTAGAAAACAGAACGCCCCAACCGCCTCGGGCACCCTGCGTACCGCGGCCGCCGGGCCCCAGAGGTCCTGCTGCTTCCTGGGTGTCCCGACTCGCGCCTTCGGCGACAGACGACTGCATGCCGCGGCCGCCAAGCTCCAGAACTCCTGCTGCTCCCCGCCCACATCACCCATTACCGAAATCTTCTGCCAACGCCCTGGACGAGCCTGTCGCGACCGAAATCCGGCCTCTGGTCGCAAATTCTGGCAACGAGCAAGCCGCCGACGTCTTCGATCTCCTCGCTCGGACCCCTGCGCGCCGTCCCTTCGCTGCCGCACTTCGACGCTCCCTGGTCGCGACCGACATTCGGCGCGGCCGAAATGCGTCACCGAAGGACTTCTGGTCGCGGGTGATCTGGGTGGGGATCCCGCCTCGCGCTCTCGGGTGATGATCGCTCGAAGCAAGATAGACCTGACTACGCGACACCGAAGAGACATGAGACTCGGGGTTTGGGGACCCGGGTTGGCCTGACGGGGCCGTCAGCAGAACGGCGAGACCCCGTCGGAAATTCGACGCGTGCCATCTCTGCAGACATCCCATGGAAACTGGGCCATCAAAGCTTAGGACGGGCTCGCCAACAAAAACAAGGGAAAACCAGAGATCAGGCGGACTCGAGTCTTGTGCTTCCCCGACAGTGCAGTCGACCCGTATCATGAGGATGCGCGGTGAAGATGCATGGGCCTTGGAGGACCATGCTAACGTTTTTCCAGCGAGGCTGGCCAGCGAGAATCGCTAAGGATGGGCCGAAAGGGTAAGAACGCATGGGGAAACGAAAAGGTACGGGTACAGCTACTCCCGGGACCTCTCATGGGGTGCGTTCTGACCAGGATTTCGAAGTGAATCCAGCGATGGCGACGAGGGCCCCCAAGGAGGCCCAAGAAGGGAAAAAGGAGGCACGTGTAGCAGTGTCGGTACCTTTTCCTCCTCCGATCTTCTCTGCCTCAGAGGAGGCCCGAAAAATGGAAAAATGGCGGAGGGTAGTTCATTCTTGCTGTGCGGGTTGAGTGTAGGCGTTCCAGCCCACGCAGCCTTGACTGGCGTGATGGGCGGGTGGTCCCCCGCGTCGGTGCCGTCCTGTCGCGGGTGGGTGAAGCCCCTCGCCAAGGCCGCCGCCTCGGCGCAGAGGGGGAAGAGGAGGAGGAGGAGGAGGAGGAGGAGGAGGAGGAGGAGGAGGAGGAGGAGGAGGAGGAGGAGGGAAGGAGAAGGAGGAGGAGGGGAGGGATGGGAGGAGGGAGCGAGGAGGAGGAGGAGGAAGGAGGATGAGGAGGAGGAGGAGGGGGAGGAGGTAAGGAGGAGGAGGAGGAGGGGGAGGAGGAGGGGGATAGGAGGAGGAGGAGGCTTAGAAGAGAAAGAGGAGGAGGAGGAGGAGCAGGAGGAGGCGGAGAGAACGAAGAGGAGGAGGAGGAGAGGAGGAGAGAGGGGCAGGAGGAGGAGGAGGAGGAGGAGGAGGAGGAGGAGGCTGGAGGAGGACGACGAGGGAGGGAAGAGGGAGGAGCGGAGGAGGGAGGAGGGAGGCGGGAGGAGGGAGGAGGGGGAGGAGGGGGCGGGAGGAGGGAGGAGGGAGGAGGCGAAGGACGGGAGGAGGGAGGGAGGAGGAAGGGAGGATGGGAAGAGGGAGAAGGGAGGTTCCAGGTAGGAGGAAGGAGGGAGGATGGGAGAGGGAGGAGGGAGGAGGGAGGAGGGAGGAGGGAGGAGGAGGAGGAGGAGGAGGAGGAGGAGGAGGAGGAGGAGGAGGAGGAGGATGCAGGAAGGGAGGAGGAGGAGGAGGAGGAGGAGGAGGAGGAGGAGGAGGAGGAGGGGGAAGTCCCTCGCCAGGGCCGCCGCCTCGGCCGCCCAGGGCATGTGGGGCGCGGTCAGCACCTGCACAGTGCCCTGGAGGTCGAAGTTCTCGGGGTACTTATCCTGCAGGAGGAGCCCAGCATTGTGTCCATCGTACTCGGGGACCACTTCGGGTGGTCAAGGCTACAGTAGGTTGGAACATCATAAGCCCAGCATCGAATCGATGCGTCGGCTCGGCGATCGAACCGAAGCGGATCGTCGGATATCGACAGCCAGGTCGGGAGAAATCGAATCGGCAGAAATCGGCAGGCTTGTCAAGCTTCCATTGGGAAACCGAAGCCCGGTGGAATCGGAATCGGAAACGCTGCAATCGAATCAGCTCGAGTCGGAGGAATCGAACGAAACATGCCCTGTGTCCGTATCCGTGTGAGGGAGGGGGGAGGAGGATGAGGAGCAGGCGGAGGAGGGGGAGGCGGATAAAAAGGAGGAGGAGCAGGAGGAGGAGCAGGAGGAGGTGGAGGAGGTGGAGGAGGAGGAGGAGGAAGGTGTCCGTCTCCGTGCGCGGGTAGGAGAGGACGCCCTTCAGGTAGAGCCGCTCGGCCAGGTGCAGGGTGTCGCCCGGGCCCAGCCCGAGGACGTCCGAGCCTGAGCTGCCAGCGAGACCGCCCAGGGCCTCCCGCAGAGGCCTCGCAGGTCGGGGATCTTCTCACCCGGGGTCCATCCAGACCCGGGTCAGTCAGGCCTTGCAGACTCCTGCAAGATTCTGCACTCAAGCCCGAGTCAACGCGAAAGATCCTGCAAGATCCTGCAGGATCCTGCGCCCAAACCCGGGTCAATGTTCCCCTGGCCTCTGCAGGATCCTGCAAGATCGTGCGCTCTGGCTGACCCCCGTCTGCATTGACCCCCATCTCAAGGCTCCCGAGCAGATGGGGTCCGAGTGCGGCTGGACCTAAGAGAGAATCACATCCTTCAAGAACACGAGACCCTCTGCCGGCCCGCACCGAAGAGCATTCGAGGGTACCCTCCCCCAGGATGCACAAGCACACCCAACGGACACGAAGAACCTCAGGGTGCCCTCCTCGAGCCGCTCTCGATCCTCCGCCTCGGTCCGACCGCAGTGTCGATTGCGGCGCCATGATCCCGAGGTTCGGCCCAGTTCTCGAGGGGGAACAGGCAACGACAGGAACAGGACATGTCGGGGGCCCGCGCGGACTTCTCGGATCGGCGCCGTGGCCCCCTGGCGCGCCAGGGAAGCGGGTCCAGTGGTGGGCCCGAGAAATCCGCGCGCGGCCCTCCGAGTTGTCGGGTTTTATGCCAGTGTTTCGTCACCGGGGAGAGGGATGCGCGATCAGGATGCGAGGGCCTTGCAAGGCCATGCCGACCCCCTTCGAGAGGGGCGCGGCCAGCGGGAGGGGCCAGGTGATGAGCCGAAGGGTAAGGATGCACGGGCAACCTCGGAAAGTCGCTCATCCTTACTATGCGCTTTGCCTGTAGATGGGGTGGGAGGATCGCGCCACGTCGCCGATGCATCGGCGATGTGGCGCGATCCTCCGATCCCCAATTACTTCGAGTCCGCCTAGGAGCCTCAGAGTTCTGGTCTTGGCCGCATTGCCGTAGGAATGTAGAAGGTATGGGTCGCGACGCACAGGACACAAGGCTACCCTTGATTTGGCAGGGTCGACCTGCTAATCAAACCCGACTGCAATATCTGGGGATCGAACTCTCAGAGCCTTGGAGACCGCCCCGCGGACACGGGGGAGCAAGAATACGTGCGAGCCTATGCGAGGCCGCGGGGTGTGACATCTTGGCGAGATCTGCGGTTGGACAGCGGCGCCCGCCAAAGATGCCGTGAACACTGGAAACGAACACTCCGGTGTACTGACGGCATCAGGACCTTTGAACCGGACGGGGGTGGAAGGAAACATGGGCCGATGGGCTGCACAAGCTGAAGACACGGAACAAGCGCACGAATAGCATGGCAGCCGCTCTCTCACTCTTCAGGAGTGGGAGCGGGGATCCCTGAAGCTGCAGCAGAAGCACATTCAAACTGGAGGCAGGAACCACAAGCTCCTGGGGGTCGTCGCCAAGAGGAGCAAGAGAATTTCAGAAACATGATCTCTCCGAGGTCCGCGCGGGCTTCGGGCCCGCGCTGCACCCCCCCCTCCCTGGCGCGCGGAGCGCGGCAGGGGCGGCGCTCCGCGCCGATCCCAAGAAGTCCGAGCGGAGCCTGACTTGTTCTCCGAACGAAGCTAAGGGGTCTTGGGGGCCGTTCCTGGACGTCTAAGGTCCAAGCCCATCTTCAGCATCGCCACCGTGTTGAGGGGCAGCGGCCGGGAGAGGGAGCTCGACCAGCCCCGCACGCGCGTCACGGCGACGGTGCCCTCCGGGTTTACGCTGCCCCTGGCCCGGTTCAGCCTCTGCTTCGCCTCCTCCGCGTCCCAGATCGCGCCGTCGTCGCATGTTGCGTCGACGGAGGCGTCGTCGATCCGGAGGGTCAGGGTCAGCAGCCAGTATGGCGCGGGCACGAAATTCTGTATCTCCACGTGCCTCTTCACGCAGAACCAGAGGGTGGGTATCTGGCACGGCCCGTATGTCACCATCTTCTTGCCCAGCTGGTTTCCGAAGTGGTGCCGGAAATACATCGTCTGCAATCTGGAGAAGGCGCACCCGATCCTGAGGTCGATCTCCTGGCGTGCCTCCACGGACAGGGATTGGTTCTCGTCGGGCACTGACAGATTCGCGAACGCCGACTGCAGGTCCCCGTGAGCCAAAGAACTGAACTGCGCGCGGAATACGTTGCCTCGATACGCGCCTGGGTAATCGAATCGCGGCTCTCGCATCTGCGGCAAGACCTCGCCCATGACCTCGAAGCAGATGTTCTCACCCTCGCGGTCGCAGTCGAGCCACAAAACCAACAGATCGCAACCCTGCCCCTCTGACCGGAGATGCTCCGGGATCCTGGCCCCATGTTCTCCCTGCCCCGCTGATGGATTGGAGGCCCTGGAGCAGTCAAACAAAACATCCCAGGCCACAAACACAAACAACTCTGGCACATTAGGACACCGTTTTGTTCAAACTGTCTCGCCTAATGTTAGGTCGGGCACGTCCTCCTATACGCAGAAGTCGGACGAAAAATTAAACATGTCGAACACATCCAAAAATCATCGACAAACATCAAAACACGTTGCCAGATTTTAAATAATCCAATATCTAATAATCCGCAAATAATCCAATAATCTAAATGATTCAAACTAATCAAATACTTTCGAACATTCCTCCTGTAGAGGGACGTGCCCGACTTACGCCTGAAACATTCCATCGCCCAAGGCCCCCAAGCGGTTCCGGCGGGGCACGGTCCTGGCCCGAGGGTCGTACGTCCGGATCGTCTCCGCAGAGAACAGCTGCTCGGGGCCGTGCTTGTTCCAGTCGTTGAACTCCGAAGAGAAGTCGATGGAATAAATGTGGCCCGTGGTCGCAGTGACGCGGAAGAGCGCCGGCATCCCGAACATCTCGCCCTCGTACTCATACACTGGCGAAGACGGGGACACGCCCTTCCGCTTCCTTCGGGGGATCCAAAGGAGCGGCTCGACCATGTGCCACAAGCTGATATGCAACGTCAAAATGTGCAGATCAACCTGGCAGACCCGAGACGCACTCAGGTTGAGTGCAAGGCGTCGGCATCGGCGAGCTCAATTTGAATGTACCCTATGCCCCGGCGGAATCAAGTTGGTGTCTGCCCATGGTTATGGATTTTGCTCGCTGACCTGCAAAAGACAGCCAAGTTAACCTCAGCTTCGAACTCGTCATCTCAACCAGCCAACAAAGCATGAGAAACTTACTTTGCAACAATGGTTGACCCTGCACCTGGGCCCCGAGAGGCCAGAGGGAACCATGCGTCTCCGGCCTGGCAAGACGCTGACGACAAAGACGTCGGACACACAATCTTACCACTTGGGGCGTCGAGTCCCTGGGCCGCCTCTTGCATGGAACCTGCTCGGTACACAGCATGGACTAACTTGTGTCTCGAACACAATGGTGCACCTAAAAACATGGGCCTGATCTCTCCCACAACTCCGTTTTGATTGCTGTGTAGGCTTTCTGCGCCTTCTGCCCACCTCAAACTCTCAGCCTCCCCAAAAAGTATCCCGTTGCCCCACTTCTGGTTCGCCAAAGGCCCTTAGGTGCGTAACCTGAACTCCAGTGGAGCTTACAACAAATGAAGAACTAGAGCCCTACCAACCGAGAAAGACACCAGTCTCTCCACCCCACTCCCCCCTCTGGCCTGACAGCTGTGCGAAGTGGGCACCCGTCACCCCTCTGGGCTGAAGAAATTTGGAGCGTCGGCTCATCCAGAAAAGAGCACTTCTCCCATTCGGAGAAGAGTGAGCCCTATCCCGTCCACCCCTCCAGAGGGTCTCAAGGAGAACAATTCGGGGGGACCGGCTCAGTGGGCTCTTTCAGAAAACGACCCTTCTCCCACTCGCAGACGGTTGAGCCCCATCCTGTTCACCCTCTCAGGGGGTCAGAGGAGGACTGTTAGGGGGAACTGGCTCACCGAGGAGGGCCTCGAGATGGAATCGGCAATACTTCGCCGGTAAATTAGCGATGCCCTACAGCAAAATTCCGCGCTCCTCGGCGGGGTGGGCTGTCGGGCCCTTCTCGGCCATGAGTGGGCGGTTGAGGGTCGACGCATCTCCCCCTGAGCCTGTCTCCTCCCCCACGCTTCCCCGGAGGGTGGAGCGTCCAGCATGGCCCCGGGTGGCCTCAATGGCGCCGCAGCTGGCCTCCAGCATGTCGCAATATGGTACGAGCCAGACCAGGCGGCGTCCAGCGAGGCGCCCGAAAGGTCCCAGGTTGGTTCCGGACGCCTCCGGGAGGGCCAGAACTGCAGAGCAACTTCAGTGGGGCCCCAAGTTGGCTCCGGACGCCTCCGGGAGTGCCAGAACTGCAGAGCAGCTTCAGCGCTTCACGATGTTGGCCCTCTTCGTTTCTGAGGCCTGGCCTCAATATGGCTCTAGCGGCACAAAAAGTCGGGGCCACGAGGGACTCGGACAGCATCCCACGGGGGCGCAGAAAGTGGGCGCGAGTCACCATCGCTGGTCTCAAAAAATTCCCCACGGGGGAGAATGAAACCAGGGGGCCCCTCCCCCCCTCCCTGAAAAAAACTCCTCGTAAGCTGGGGGGGTCAAAAGCTAGGGCTTCCCCCCCACCCCTAACCTCCTCCCCCCTCGGGAAGAACCTGGGAATAGGCGGGACCCCCCCCCGTGGAAAATCATGGGGTCCAGGCCCCCTCTCTTTCCCCCCCCTTCCCCCTCCCAGGAACATGATGCGGGGGGGCCCAGAGCCCCCCCCCTTCCCCCCAGCAGCGACGGCGACGTCAGCGGCGGCGGTGGCGCACCGCCGCCAGGGCCTGCGCCAGGCGCTGGCTCTGATAGAATGCTGCCAGGACTCGATCCAGCTCCCTCCGTATCCTACGAGGGCCCTGCTGTACTCTACCCTGCTCTGCTCTACTCCACGTTCCTCTGCGCTCCTCTCCTCTCCTCTCCTCTCCTCTCCTCTCCTCTCCTATCCTCTCTACTCCGCTCGGCTCTGTTCTTTCTGCTCTACTCTGCCGTACTCTACCCTGCCCGAACCTAACATACTCTACGTTACTTTGAATATGCCCTATTCTACTCTACCCCACTCTACTCTACTCTACTCCTACTTTACTCTGCTCAGCCATACTCTGCTCTATTCCTGCTGTACTCTTCGGAGCTGCTCTGCTCCACTCCAGTCTAATCTACTCTAATATGATCTACACACCCCGACTCCCCTCGTCACTACTCAGCTATACCCTACCGTCTCCCTCCGTATTCTACTCGACTCTACTCGACTCTTGTCGACCCTATGATGCTCTACTCTACGCCTGCTCCACTCTGCTCGTCGTTGTCGTCGTCTTCGTCGTCGTCGTCGCTGTCGTCGTCGGTGGCGGCGTCGTCGTCGGCGGCGTCGGCGTCGTTGTCGGCGGCGTGGTCGTCGTGCGTCGAGCGCCGTGCGTCGTGCGTTGTGCGTCGTCGTCGGCGTCGTTGTCGGGGGTGGGGCTTCTGACCCCCAGAACAATGTTTTGAGAAAAAGGCTTCCACAACGGCTGGGGGAACGCATGGTCCAACAGCGTGGCCAAATGTTGCCCAAACGTTTGGCCACATTGGCGTATCCTAGAAGACAAGGGGCGGCCCGGCGGTGGTTTGCCGTTCGCGTCTTCGGTAACATACACGACATTCCGATCACATGAAGCCGACGTCTTCAAACAAGACCGTCTCAACCAAACGTGCTCTAACACCGCTGTGTACAAACCACTAAAGGTTATTAGACCATATATGTTTGATGAGGGTACAGGGATGCCACGGCCTCCTCGTCAACTGCCGAGAGGTGGGCGCAGCTCGTGCCCCGAGACACTTCGCAGCACGTGCGTGTGACGTGTGGCACGCCCTTCCCCGTCGTGTCGGGGGCTCCCATCCCGCCTTCGTCGTCTCTCCCCCCCTTCCTTCCGCCCTCTCCCTGCTCCCCCATCCTCCCCCTGCGTTTGCGCAGCACGGCCTCCGGAATGCCTCTCGTAGCCTCCCGGGAGCCCCTGGGGGACTCATCGACGGGGCTCCGCGGGGCGCCTGAATCGTTTCCCTGCATAACCTCGGTCCGACTGGAGGAGGAGGAGGAGGAGGAGGAGGAGGAGGAGGAGGAGGAGGAGGAGGAGGAGGAGGAGGCGGCCGCCTGGCGGGGCTCCGCGCCAGCGCCTGCGACAGCGACAGGGCGATCGAGGGCTTCTCGGCCACCATCAGCACCAGCAGCGTGGCGCCCGCCATCGGCCCGCGGAGGAGGCCCCCCCCCCAGAAGGGGGGGGGAGAGGTGGGAATGGGGGAGGGAGCAGTCGGAGCAGGAGGAAGAGGAGCAGGAGGAAGAGGGGGGGCAGGGGAGGGAGGAGGAGGAGGAGGAGGAGGTGGAGGAGGAGGAGGAGGAGGAGGAGGAGGAGGAGGGCGAGGAGGAGGAAGAGGAGGAGGACGGGAAGGAGGAAGAGGAGGAGGAGGAGGACAAGGAGGAGGATGATGCTGCTGCTGATGATCATGATGAGGAGGATGATGATGCGGTTGATGATTAAAGTGATGGTGCAGATGATGTTGATGCTGATGTTGACTATGATGATGATGCGGATGCTGATGATGATCATGATGATCATGACGATGCTGCTCATGCTACTGATGCTGCTGCTGATGATGATGCTGATGATGATGATGGTGGTGGTGATGATGATGCAGATGATGCTGGCCATGATTCGGATTTTGATGTTATTGCTGCTGTTGATGATAATAATGATGATGGTGATGATGACGATGATGATGCTGCTGCTGATGATGCTGATGATGATGCTGCTGCTGATGATGATGATGATGATGAGGATAATGATGCTGCTGATGATGATGATGATGATGATGATGGTGATGATGATGATGATGGTGATGATTATTCTTATGATGATGCTGATGCTGATGCTGATGCTGATGCTGATGATGATGCTGATGATGATGCTGATGCTGATGTTGATGCTGATGCTGATGCTGATGATGATGATGATGATGATGATGATGATGATGATGATGATGATGATGATGATGATGGTGGTGGTGGTGGTGGTGGTGGCGATGATGATGCCGCCGCCGCCGCCGAGGAGGAGGAGGAGGAGCAGGAGGAGAGAGAAAGAGAGAGAGCGAGAGAGAGAGAGAGAGAGAGAGAGAGAGAGAGAGAGCGCGCGGCAGAAAGCGAAGGGTCTCTCCGCCCAGATCGCGGCCGCAGCCGCGCCCCCGGGGGTCCTGGGGTCCACTCTGGCGGGCGACGGCGCACCGCTCCCACCCCTGTCGCGCGGAGGGCGGCGACTCGCCCGCGCGGCGGGAGCCGCCACCACGGCCGCTTGCGCTGGCCGCACCCCGACACCAGCCCGCTGTCGCCCTCCAGCTCCGCACCGCACCGCCACCTCCGCTCCGACCACCACGGCGGCGAGGTCGCCCACGGGCCTGTCCTGCGCGCCGCCTCCGGGCCGACGAGGCCGCGCCCGAGCCCGCCGCCGCCTGGGCCGAGGCCCGCACCAGCCGCAGCGTCCACCGTGGGCGCACCCGGCTGCGCCGCGGCCCCATCGCAGCCGCCAGGCGCAGGCACGGGCGTGCCGAGGACGGCTGCCGTCGCCGCCGCCGCCGCCCGCAGGAGCCCCTCGGCCCGCACCAGGCGTGGAG